TCAACTTTGTTTTAAATGAAACGGCTAAATTCACTGAAGTATATATAAAATTTTCTAACGAGTAAAAGAAAACATCCGGTTGTATAAAAACTAGTTTATTATTCGAAAAAAAGCTTGTTCATCATTTGTTTCATTACTTTTTTAAATAATCTTTGTCTTATTTAGATTTATGATATTGAAGTATTTCAAAATTCTTACATTTTCATGTAACCAGAAATCTGTGAATAGAAAACTTTCATGATCATTGTTAGCATGTAAAGGTAAGTCATAAGCAACATAGAACCTAGTAATTACAAGGATCAGTTCGAATTAGACAGCCACTTGGCATAAGTGACACCATTCCGGACCACCTCAGTAGACAGAAAGTTGCAGTTTTATCAACTGATCTTCCATTTGGCGGACCTACTTACTTACTTACTTAAGCCTGTTACCCCCAATGGAGCATAGATCGCCCACCAGTTTCCTCCAACCAACTCTGACCTGGGCTTCCCTCTCCAGTTCTGTCCAATGTTTGTTCATTCCTCTCATATCTTCCTCTATTTCTTAGCGTAATGTGTTCCTTGGCCTTCCTCTTTTCCTTTTGCCTTGAGGGTTCCATGTGAGGGCTTGTCTCGTGACGCAGTTGGGTGCTTTTCGTAGTGTGTGTCCTATCCACTTCCACCGCTTCTTCCTGATTTCCTCATCCACTGGAATCTGGTTTGTTTTCTCCCACAGTACGTTGTTGCTGATGGTGTCTGGCCAACGAATACGAAGTATTTTGCGTAGACAGCTGTTAATAAACACTTGTATCTTTTGGATGATGGCTTTCGTAGTTCTCCATGTTTCCGCTCCATACAGTAGAACTGTCTTGACATTTGTATTGAAAATCCTGATTTTGGTTTCGGTTGAAAGTTGTTTGGAGTTCAAGATATTTTTCAACTGTAGAAATGCAGCCCTTGCTTTGCCAATCCGTGCCCTCACATCTGCATCCGATCCACCTTTCTCGTCGATGATGCTGCCCAGATATGTAAAGGTGTTAACATCCTCCAAGGCATCTCCATGAAGAGTGATTTGGTTGGTGCATGTTGTGTTGCATCGGAGAATTTTGCTCTTTCCTCTATGTATGTTGAGACCTACTGCTGCAGAGGCTGCTGCTACACTGGTCGTCTTCTCTTGCATTTGTTGTTGAGTGTGCTATAGAAGAGCCAAGTCATCTGCGAAGTCCAGATCGTCCAGCTGCGTCCTAACTGTCCAATTGATGCCGTGCTTCCCTCCAGACGTCGACGTTTTCATAATCCAGTCGATGACCAGGAGAAAGAGAAAGGGTGAGAGTAAGCAACCTTGCCTGACACCAGTCTTCACCTCGAACGATTCTGTTAGCTGTCCTTCGTGTATGATCTTGCAGTTGAATCCATCATAAGAATTCCGTATGATGTTGACTATTTTCTCAGGCACCCCGTAGTGTCGAAGAAGCCTCCACAGTGTTTTCCTATCCACGCTATCGAATGCCTTATCGTAGTCGATGAAGTTGATGTAGAGTGATGAGTTCCATTCAACTGATTGTTCCACAATGATCCGTAATGTAGCAATTTGGTCAGTACATGATCGATCCTTAAGAAATCCGGCCTGTTGATCTCGAAGTTGGGCGTCTACGAAGTCATTCATTCTGTTTAACAATACCCTGTTGAAGACTATGCCTGGTATTGAATGAAGAGTGATGCCTCTGTAGTTCTCACACTTGCTGAGATCGCCTTTCTTTGGTATTTTGATCAGGTATCCTTCTTTCCAATCTGATGGTACATGTTCCTCATCCAAAATCTTCTTGAAGAGGATGTGAAATATTTTTGCAGTTACTGCCACGTCTGCTTTCATTGCCTCTGCTGGAATGATGTCTGGTCCTGCTGCTTTGCCGTTCTTGATTTGTCTGATGGCCATACTGATCTCTTCAATTGTAGGTCCGCCAACATCGATTGGGAGGTCCGTAGGTGTTGCTTCGATGTTGCATGGGTTCAGTGGAGCTGGTTAATTCAATAGTTCCTGAAAGTGCTCTACCCACCTATTTCGCTGTTCTTCAGTGTTGCTGATTACTTTGCCTTCCTTGCTTTTCACTGGTCGTTCTGGTTTACGATAGTTTCCGGCGAGCTTCTTCGTTGTTTCGTACAATTGTCTCAAGTTTCTGTCTCTTACAGCCTTTTCTGCCGTCACTGCTAGATCTTCCACATATTTTCGTTTGTCAGCTCTGATGCTCTTCTTCACTTTCCTCTTTGCTTCTGTGTATGCAGCTTGTGCGGTAACTTTCTCTGCTCTTGTTCGGCTGACATTGATTGCTGCCTTCTTGTTCCTCCTTTCTTCAATTTTTTCAAGAGAACCAACAGAGATCCATTCCTTGTGATGGTACTTCTTGTGACCCAGAACTTCGTGAAATGTTGAAGTGATTGCCTCCTTAATCCCTTTCCAATTATTCTCCAATGTTGCGTCCTCCCCATTGAGTAGATCCTGAAAGGCCTGGAACCTATTGGTGAGGGCTATCCTGAATTCGTTGAGCTTTACAGTATCCCGAAGAAAGGCCGTATTAAACTTGTGCGATGTTGTCTGCCCCGTTGTCCAGTGCTTCTTTAGCTTCAGTTTCATTTTGGCGATTAGCAAATGGTGATCTGAGGCTATATCAGCTCCTCTCTTGGTTCTCACATCTTCCATAGTCCTTCTGAACGTTTTGTTGATACAGATATGATCAATCTGGTTTTGAGTAGTGTGATCCGGTGAAATCCATGTAGCTTTGTGTATGCGTTTGTGCGGGAATATTGTGCCACCGATGACCAGTTTGTTGAAGGCACATAGGTTTGCAAATCTCTCACCGTTTTCGTTCCTTTCTCCCAGTCCATGTCTTCATATCCAGTGTTGTCCATTCCAACCTTGGCATTCAGGTCTCTCATAAGAATCGTCAAATCCTTTGGTAAACATTTCTCGACGATTGCCTGCATCCTTTCGTAGAATTGATCTTTAACGTCGTCATTGTAGTCATTGGTAGGTGCGTAACATTGGATGACGTTCATTGTAATGTCCTGTTTCTCTGTTTTGAAGGATGCTTTAATGATCCTGGGTCCATGAGATTCCCATCCTATTAGTGCCTTTTGTGCATGTTTGGACAGCATCAGTGCAACTCCTTGTGTATGTGAAGCATTTTCCTCTTCATGACCAGAGTATAACAGCAGTTCCCCTGAAGCTAGTCTCAGTTGTCCTACTTGTGTCCAATGCGTTTCACTGATTCCAAGCACCTCGAGGTTGTATCTTTTCATTTCTGCCGCAACTTGAAATAGTCTTCCAGTCTCCCACAATGTACGAACGTTCAATGTACCTAAAAAAATGGTTGCTCTGGTTGTCAGAAGAGGCATCGGTCCCGTGACTTCCGATGGAACTCGGCTTTCATCACGCGACGTCATAATTCTTCCTCCAACTCCCAGGGCAGAGTTAAAATGGTTTGAATTATTTTTTCTGGTTAGCGTTTTTTTGGCAAGTTAGTTTTTGACGGAATGGGGTCGCCAACCCCATGTCCAACCCTCCTCCTTTACCCGGGCTTGGGACCGGCAGTAGCCCCGAAGGTCCTACTGCCGGAGTTATTTGGCGGACCTAGGTACAAACTAAAATACTCAGTACTCAATGTAACCATTTTCAAGTCCTTCGGTATGTTAGTATCAAGCATAGTAACGTAACCGACTATTACAGCACAAGTGAATGAACTTCGATCACTACAGACGTTTAAGAAATAAAGGAAAGTACGTTATTATTGGAGTATGCACTCTTCTTACATCAGTTTATCTCTAAGCATTATCTCATTTAACAATGGGGGTGTATACCGGTGATATCCCAATCAAAAGAAATTTGTATTTCTGATGTTTAGTGACTTAATGCAAATCAAGCAAATTTCTACTCATTAGGATATCACCAAAAATTAACTTTCTACTCAATGCTCAATTTCTTAGAAACTATCAATTCCAAACTTAGTAGTGAAGAGTAGGTGATATAATATTTCATATAGGGTGAGTGTTTTAAATAAAATATTGTAAACCGACACAAAGGCTTACGGTCCTTTGCATAGTATGCAGTTTCGGAAAGGCGTCAGTGATACAGTACTAAGCAAATAGATGGCAAATAGCTGGTACTCCATATAAATTTCATATAAATAATGGAAAAATACTGAGCGTAGCTAGTGCTATTTTATCTTATTAAGGTACTCCTGCAAAAATCAATGATGACTAAAATCAGAAATAACATTTTTTGCTAGTTTTCACTCATTTCCTAAATGATTATTTATTTGTCGACCAATACATTAAAAATCAATCGATAATTTAGTAAGAAACAAGGAAGAAAAATTATGATAAAAAAAACTAATGTAACTAATACAAAATAGACTACGATTGTGAGTGACCCATGGTCATACTTTATAACATCATTATTTAAGTTAAACTAAACTATCCATCTACAAAAAACTGTTTTCTGATTGGCTAACAGCTGGTCGAAAATTCGTCACAATCATTTTAAAATGATCTCCAAAAAATGAATTCTCATTGGTAGCATTTTATCATGATACAACCATATCCACAACTAATTAGACCAAAGAGAAGTAAGTGCCAACACGATGAATGAGTGTACTACATCTAACTGAAAACGTGTACAGAAACAACATGAATTTTGAACACAACAATTACCTAGTAATTCTCCGTCTTGAATTATTCTTTGGTTGATATCAACTGAAGATGAATAGTTATTTCCAAGTTATTATTTTTTTTACATTTTTTAAATAAAATTGTAACAAAATTAACATGAAGAAGTGATACTAAAAGAATTCACATATCATCTGTTTTACTGTGAAAGCAGAAATCATTAACACTCGTCATCGAATGTTAGTATACAAATCAAAGCTTATTAGTACACAGATAATAATATACAAAAGAAATAAAATCCAAAAACCTACAAATCTTTCAAATAAAGAATTATTTTTACAAACTTCATAGAAGTTAATTTTATTCATTCGAATAAGAATCAACCAAACGTGTTTGAATGGATTCTAAAATATCACTCCATGTTTCTAATTCCATATAGCTGTCTAGTGGATGAGATTTATGCACTAATAAAGACTTTACAAGTTTTTCTAATATTTTTGCTTCATATGAATTCCTACTTGGAATATCAACAACACATGTCATATGTGTATTTGCATACTGCTGACAATATGTTGACGATAAGACAGTTTGTTTAGTAATACCAGTTTGTAATGGATAATTTGGCAGTGAATAAACTGAATGAATTGATTCTGATGAGCATAAATATGGGATATCTATGTCAATTGGTGAATTATTAACAGATTTGTGTGAATTAGCAGTTTGACTGAATATATTCAACATATCATTCATAAGAGCAGAATTTTTAATTCCTCGAGACATTAACAAACGATATAGTACAGGTTCAGGTGGTACATTTTCACCAGCTATTAGTTTTCCCTGATTGTAGTAAGGATTAAGATTATACCATGATAAACGATTTTCCATCATTTCATTACAATTAACTCCAGTTTGCACAGTGAGCATCTAATGAAGCGAATAGAATAGAAATAAAAGTGAGACTGATAAAAATGCGTAAAAATCGATTACTTTTTGTTTATAATTAATATGTTTAGATAGTTACAATGAAAGATATACGCAATTGGTTAAGCAAATACAGACTCGTATACTCAATTTTAACATTTGCATTTTATCAGAAAGTAAAAAATACCAACTGGTTACTCAAACCTTTAAAAAGATAAAGTAAAGTTGTAATCTTCATTCTAACGGTTAGAAGTCGTATTCTTTTAAATCACCAAGCTATCGATTGATTCATACAGTTAAACTTTAAATTTAACATCATAGAGTTATCGAGATCGTTGAGTTTCTTTAATCATGAACTGAATAACATTAGACTACCCTTGGGAACCTAGAAGTACTGGACGGCCGTTTCGTCCCAGTATGGGACTCAGCGGCAGTTAGCATCCAAGACCCTATGAGTAGGATTCATACCGAGGAACTTCAGTCTAGAGACTGAACGCTTAACAATGTCTTGACCACTCTGGTGATATCCAACAGTGTTATTCACTAAACTAAATGCCTTAAAGCACTGCTCGAATGACCCGGAACGGCGGAGTAATCAATGCCAATGTTACGAAAAGGGTACCGGGTAGGGATGTCAGATCAGTTGTTGAAGTAGTCAATCTTTATCAGTCGAGGTGGTTCAGACATGTATTACAAATGCCAACAACCGACTACCTCGACGAAGTTGTCAGATGTAAAGGTAGGTTGGAAGAAAGCTAGACGCGATCAAACCAAAACATGGCACAAATCCATGAGGTTTCTGACAACTGGACTGAGCCATGCTAGTAGGTGTACACTACCAGGTTGGGTCTGCGAGACAATGCATTCATTCATCGTCTTCTCTCAAATTCTAATCTGATTTCATCATCTTTGTCTTCGTCTGTTTAAATTTATTTTACTCGACTGTGCCTCTTCGAACCCTAATCTTCTCCAATACCGCTAATACTTATACTACCTATACTACTATGTGATTTAAATAGACACTTTGATCTCGGTGCTAATGTTAACTTAGATCGTGTCATCTCATTATCAGGACAAAAATATCCATAAAAAGAAAGAACGAAAACTTCATGAGTAAATCAAGTGGCTAAATACAAAAGATACAACCAAAATATTTGCATAGATCATGCATATTAATAAATCACATGGGAACACGTGAAATCGATAATTCCACCAAAATGTAATGTGATGCATACATTGAATCTAACTTATCTACCAAGTAAGTATAGATTTGTTTATTTGGCTTTCAGCCACACTTCCAGGTGAAGTGTAGTGGTGATACTAAATGGATGCGTGAACGAACTCGAGTGTTGTTGGGAGGCTAGAGCCTATGATGATCGGTTGAAAGTCAAGTGCTTTAATAACTGCCTCGCACATACTCTATGAATTAAATGAGTAAATTACTGTCAGTTGAGGAGTATCGTTACACATTATACATATAAATGAGGGATAACTTATAAAATGGAGATGTAAATGATGACTGAATTTTGCTTGCTCATCATCTAGTAAAAAAATCAAACATCTGGTCATAACATTCATTTCAGTTGAAACATTGCTGAAAATACATCTTAATACAAACGTCAACATTCAGGTCAGTCTTAAACACGGCAACAACGAGTGATCTAAACACTAAGTAACCAACAAAGTAATTTAATGATTTCAATATGAGTGAATAACAAACTAAAACGATCAGTGTCGTAACTAAGAACAAATAGTTTTCGAATCGAAATTACGTATGTTAAATCACAAATTACGGCACTTCTACTCCATGTCTATTCAAAAAAAAGAAATAATGTAACCAAGACTATATACAAGGTCAAGTACTCAACTTTCTATCACACCTCTTATAAGGAAAAAGGAAAACACTTGATCGTTTAAATTCAATGAGGGAATACAGAGTCCGAATATACTTTTACTATACTATTACTATTTCCCTTCAAATATTTTACTGTTGTTTTAGCCTTGACAAACAAATCGTTATGAGAACAGTTTTAAGTCATAACAGAGCCAAAACATCTTACATTCTTACACTATTTATTCATAAATTACTTCAAAACTATTTCGGTTTTGTTTGGCCTTCAACCCTTGCTAGGCATTTCAAAAACTAGTCGAGATTTACAAACTATGGTATCAGTCATATTAGTCATAATCGTATGCTTGCATTCACAGCAAAGAGCTTACTTCAAGGCGTTGTACTAAGCCGGTAAGGCGACTTGAGCCAACATAGAGAGAAAGATACGACGCAGAACTTCGTACGTAAGTACATCAGTTCAGGTTTCCAAGCCCCATCAGCACAGAGACGCAACTGTCACTTCAAATCCAAGAGTGATGACAATAATAGAAGTATAAGAAGTAATGGAGAAGATTAGGGAGCGAAGTATAATTAAGTGAGATAAATTTAGAAGGAGAAAGACAGAGATTATGAGGAATCCAGAAGGTTAGAACTTCACAGAACACGAAGAGTGGATGCACCTGCGCCATTGCAAACGATTTTGAGCCATGTCGTTCAAGGTCTCTAACCATCGATGACATTCGTCTCGCGGACCCCAATTAGGTAGCCTACATCTACCAACATAACTCAGTCCACTTGTCATTGACCTCATGGATTTCTGTCATGTTTTGGTCTGGCTGCCCCTAACTTTCTTCCAACCTACCCCTACACCCCTACATCCGTATAGTAGGATGAAGCGAATTGCTGAACAGTACACTCGTCCTTTGGTTAGCAAGCGGATATCTCACCTGCGCCATAAGTGACGCAGGTTGGCTAAAGCCAATCGAGCCTTCTGTATCCGAGCTGAGATTTCGTCAGTCACCAGGTCATCAGCACTGATGAGACTCCCGAGATACGTGGAGCGGTCTACACGTTCGACTACTCCACTCCCTATCACTAGTTCCCGTGAAGTGGCAAGCCCATCCTGAAGCAACATGTTGCATTTCGAGGGTGAGAACCACATCTCGAACATGCTTGCATTGTTGCTTAGGGTGGTCAGAAGACTGCATTTTGTCAGCGTCTTCACCAAATAGAACTATGTCATCGGCATATTCTGAGTAGATAAGCGAGCCTTCTGGTAGAAGGTTCACTCCTGAAAATTCTGACGATGATGTTACATACAGGAGCATGTCTGTGACAAAATTAAACAATGGGGAAAGTGGACATCTCTGACGGACAGCACTTGAAGTGAAGAATTCCGATGACAGTTCGCCATAAGCTGTCACCCGACCAGTGGTGTTCGAGCCAACATAAATGCATCCTAAGCGTAATGTTACTGATATCTGTCTGTGTTGCTTACTTAACCTACTTTCAGATATAAAACACATCTGAAAGTAAGAAAAATTTACGGTAGTATTTTAGCCATGGGAACGCTAAAGCATTGCCTGCACTTCAATCTACCACCAAGTGAAAATTTTGAACACTAGACGCGGAATAACATATAAGAATGGCAGATCAGTGAAATCGTAGATATTCGTTGATCGAGATGGTTGGGACATATGTTATGTATACCTAGCCAATGTGCATTAACTGGCTAGTGCAGGAATGGGTACAAAAAACGATGAGTAATCAGCTTGAAACACTATATTTAGTTCACTCTACTCTGAAATGCAGAGTAGGTAATAATACTAATCTACTGATAAGTAAGTGTGAGTGGAAAGAGTCATCTTATGATTCGGTACTGTTTAAATTATTTGCACAGAAGTGATGGCTTAGTGATTCGAGAGCCTAACGGTCAGCCACGTTCGTACCCCGCCATATCTGCTTCTTGAACAACCACGTAATATGACTGGTCCTCAAACTTAGCATGTGGATCATACACAAGTAGCCGGTGAATAATTTAACTCCATTTAAAACATAACAGATAACTGATGTGTCCATTCTGTACAATACATCGAGCGAAACTGAGTATGGTAAGTAGGCAATTCTCTGAAACCTGTTTGGAAAACCAATGCATTTAAAAGTACAGCTTATCTGACAAAACATTTGTCTGAAGTTGGAACATTAATTCCCTAACTTGTATACGTATTTGCACCATTTTGCATCATTTTAAGAAGAACCAATTTTTAAAACTTTCATTGATATATACTTTAATATTCAATGAAATTAAAAACACAGAAACATTGGTTACTAAAACCATATAGTAACTCACTTTTCTACCCTGTGCAAAATTTATCGCAGAAAAAAGGTTATCTAACCGCATACCACCATAATTAAACGCCAACTTAGAAGGAGTTGTAACTGTATCAATAACAGAAGCTAAAACACACATTTTTTTACAAGGATGAAAATGATCATATAACTGTGATACATCTAAAGGCGACCAACACCCATGACTTAGAAGGTCCCCGTTTTCTAAGACATTAAGCAGGCACAACTGATTTAATACGGCAATCTTTTTCAGACGTGCATCCAAATGTGATACAATCGATGAATTATAGACAGGAACCGAAAAAATGAATGCCTTTGGGAATTCTTCGGTAATATATTCCAACAACTGGGATCCAACACCACTGAAGCCATCCTCAGCATTTACAACCAGTTGGAAGCTGTTTGGAAGAGAACAACGCTCTGAAATGCGACGGATACGATCATCACATTCGTCAGCTACCCTGCTTCCAGACCGAAATACATTTTGCCCCTAAAACGTTAGAGATACAAAACAGAACATTGTAGTTGGCGATATTAAAAATCTCAAGTGTATATCAATAATTACTTAACATAAATGAATAACTAAACACTATTATTCCAAAGAATATAGTTCTTCAGATTCGTGAAACTATCATAAGTTATGTTACTAAATCTAGGCATATTATATAGATCAAAGGAAATTTAGGGAGGATAAATCTTGATATGATCATCAAAACTCGAGACGACCATTCTTATCGTATTTACTTGTGGATAATAATCAGTTACAATTTACAGAGCTAACCTTAATGAAAATTCAGTTTTGCAAATATTTACATAATACTGAGAAAAGAGTTTGAAATTTTCACTAGAATTTAACAAACTGTGTACAATTTTTAACTGCGTTAGATTTCAAATAAATTTAACTATCAATAAATATTTCTCTTATTTCATGTATCGAGTTTCTGAAATGTCTTGGATAAACTTTTAAACGTATAATCATAATACGAGCAAATCTTGGTTTTGCAAACAAAACTAAAATGAACAGAAGTGAAAGTTTACAAAACATCAGAAAACTTGAACTTTCCAATACTTACCTAATATAGGAACCATCAGAAAAATGCCGAGTGATACACTTACAAACAACTTATACACAACACATATAATGAAACAGTATACTGAAATTGAACATGAGTCAGGTCCTAGGTACAGCGATTATTAGGCACATTTTTTTATACAAAGTAAGATGCTTGCAAACTGTGTATGGCTAATAGCTATACTGATCAAGTAACCAAAAATCATTGGTACGTAGGTACCTAACACCACGAACCGTGTCCTACCATACCAGGAAGGTCGATCGGAGAACTGTAAGACTAAAAGCAACAACGGTGAAGTCGTACTGATGATTGTAGAGAGGCGTGACAGAAGTAAAATGTTCCTCTCAGATAACCAGCATCTCACAACGGAAGGAAGGGGTTAGAAAACGTCGACCATTAAAATGTCACACCTCAACTGGCCCCATGAATTTCCGTCTCTGGAGGTAAGACTATTTGAAGAGCTGAGCTAACACTTCAGAAACTTACCGTTAAAAGGTCATGTAGAAACCAGCCTCAAGCAGTTGTCCCTTGGGCTCTGTGGTCACGCTTCCACGTCACTAAGACCAACGCCAATCCAATTACTTTTTTAGGTTTCTCAAGAAACAGCCTTCCACAAGGTGGGCAACTGGGAAGTGAAATCCGCCCTCACGCCCGTAACAACACAGGAGATCGGCTTGGTCGCAATCAAATCTTTTCTACACCTTTTCGTAACTCTTTTGTGTCCATCACTAACCCTTCTTTCATTCCTTTATCACCTGGCGCCGTTGATGCAAACGAATCGAGTACACGAAACGTTATTCCTGGTCTCCTGAAACCACGCTCTAAACTACATGCTGAAGCTTTAAATGTCCGATAACAATTTTCGTTTTAAAGGCTTACAGAGTAAAAGAGTATCAATAAAATCAGATATCAATGAAAAACAAAAACAAATATTATCAAATGACCAGTAATTACCTCCGTGAATGTAGAAAGTCTGAAGGTAGAATCTGATTGATGCAATCCATTAAGAGTAGACTTTTCAGGAATAGATTGTAGTGATACTGGCAGTTTTAGAAGAATATCATCATGGAACCATGTTCGTCGTGCCAAAAGAGACAAACAGTTAGTCCAATTAGAGTGAAGAAATTCATTTTTACCAGACGTAGATACAGAACGAACAACTTTATCCACTTGAGTGTTCCAGGAGGGAATATCGAGTGGGGTCGGCATTAAAGTAGAGTCAAATTCAGTTCCAAAATCAACAACTTCGCGTACATCAATGGCCAACGCATGCGGTCTTGGTTCTCGAGTGCCATCATCAAACAGCACTTCATATGTGAATGGAAATTGACATTCGTTAGTTCCTGGTTTGTTTAAGAACCCGAATTCTTGCAAGTTCCAAAAATGAGCGCAGACCCGATTAGCTTCAGGACCCGCTTGTAGAGTTATGATTTCACCTTTGTTTGATTCCATGGTTCAAGTTTAACTAAGATAAACAGTTTTTTTCGTATGAGAGAATACAAAGTTCCATATAACATATCAAACGGAAGAAAGTAATACAATTAGTAGGTAGATGATAAACAACAAACAAGGCTGAGACAGTATCACAAGCAAAAATAACAATGTTATACAAATTTAGACCCAGGTCAGAGCTATGTTTTATGGTGTAGAGGTAGGTTGGGAGAAAGCTGAACGCGGTCAAACCAAAACATGGCACAAATCCATGAAGTTTCTGACAACTGGACTGAGCCATGCTAGTAGGTGTACACTACCAGGTTGGGTCTGCGAGACAATGCATTCATTCATCGTCTTCTCTCAAATTCTAATCTGATTTCATCATCTTTGTCTTCGTCTGTTTAAATTTATTTTACTCGACTGTGCCTCTTAGAACCCTAATCTTCTCCAATACCACTAATACTTCTATTACCTATACTACTATGTGATTTGAATAGACACTGGTTTCTGTGCTAATGTGGTACGGCAGCTTGAACTGATGTGTGTACATATGAAGTTCTACGTCGTAGCTGACTTATCAATATACCAAACACATTACTTATATATATTTTAATGTAGTTGATGCCAGATATAACTACTTGTCTGTTTTTAAAATACATAGTCTTATTCTCCATTACCGCTAATACTTCTACTACCTATACTACAATATGATTGGGATAGACACTGATCTCTCTGTGCTAATGTGGTACGGCACGTTGTAATTGACTGACTGAGACCTGGATCTAATCTATAAGTTATTGAGGTAACAGAATCAGAGTAAGCAGATATATAAACTGCGGCAAGTAGCAAAATACAGCAAAGTGGAGTTCAACAAAAAGAAAAGATCGATGTAACGTAATTATTGCGAACGAAATCGAAAACATTTAGGTGAACAGATGCATTACAGCTCGGAAACTTAAAAGATATTCTGCAGTGTTAGTGAAATTTATGATTATCGGTTAGTACTGATCGGCCAAATTTACTGAAGAGATAGACGCTTACTAATCTAATAAAGTAGCAGAATACGACTCATTGCCATGTTTGTGCGCCTTTTGGTATCATGGTAACCAAACCTACATGTTTACCATAAAGTAGAGAATGAAGACTGTTTCATTCCGAAATGTACCCAGAATTGTGAAGCCGATCGATTCTTCGAGATGAGAGTAGCTCATCTAGCTTATCCTGAAGGCAGCTTTGTAGCAACGTATAGCACCTTGATTATATTTAAGAATCAGCAGACTTTGAGGAACAATATAGTTTGCATTCCCACAGTAAGTCCACCACATATATAATATAAGCAAGTTTTTACAGATGTCAAATTGCATCCGATCCCTGCAAAGTGGAAAATACCAATGAATTTTTGAATAGCACAAACTAGTGGATAAAACATCAAATTTTAGGCACACACTGCTTAAAAAATTATATTATTTACATGATAAACAAAATCCGCCCACAAAATGTCAGATATTAAAGAGTCACTAATGTACCCATATCTCAATTGCTAAACAAAGGTAGCGCAATATCTGATACTCAGCGGTAGTCGCATACTCCAATTGACAATATCTTTTTCAAAAGCTAGTTTCAACCAACTCACCTCTTTGCGCTTGCTTCTTGTTGTTTTAACACGATTCCAGATATTTGGTAGCGAATAATGGATGGTAGTCTAGTCACTCAACTGTACCAATTCTAGTCAGTTAGAAGATATACATGAATTTGCATGTCCTGTGATATAAGTAAGTGCGATCATCTCATGGCAGTAGGGTTTCTGGAAACCAGCAGCTTTCACGTTAATTGTAATGTGTAGAATAATAAGGAGGAAACTCTAATGCAAATAAGAAGAGGATTTCAGAACTAAGTAAATAAATGCATGAATACCTAAATAAATTGGCAATGAATATTTTGCAACATGACCAAAACGTAAGCGATGAATCAGAAGCTGATATTATGAGCGGGAGAGATGAAGTAATTGATCTAAGGAAGTTTCAACTATAAAAACTAGCAAGTTTCCAGACATTCATCAGGCACTGCTGGTCCAAGCGAGAGATGAAAATACGTGTGTGTGTATGTGTTATTAAGTATCCTCCTGATGCGATCCATTAAAGAGGCTGTGGTCTATTCGGCTGGGAGCAGATTCCAATTTTTCGAAGATTACCCCAAGGGATATGGTTGTGATGCTTCGGCAAGCTGCTCATTTTGGGGTGATTCGGCATACGCCATTATCAGATAACTTCTGATTCACCTGTAACTCTGAGGTAATAATCACAAGTGCTGGAGTTTAACTGCATGAGACTTGTCTTCAATCCTATCGCACATTTGGTTGCTTGGATCTGCACTCGATCCGGGAGACTTTAGTCTGTTTTAAGCAGAGGGGGTGAGACGATGTTATGAACCTCAAGATGTGGGCGTACGTATGTTTTGATCAATGTTAAGGAGAATTACGAGATGATTGCACCAAGTTGTCTCCTCGTACAGCGAAGAGATGCGTTTGCCGTGGCTGTGTTTCCCATGTAGTTGGAACTGTTTTCGAGGTTTTCTGTGGTTATTAGACCATTCCGATCTCTGAGGAGAAATTAAGGATCGAATTCCTTTGACGGCGTAAGTCATTTGTGTAATATGAGCCAGAATTTCCACAAAGTGCTTGAGGTCATGAGTCGAAAGCTTTTCCGAAGTCACGGAAAATTAAAAGAACTGGTATTTTTCGACCTCATCAGGTTCTCCAGCTGCCTCATGCTGCGAGAAGATTTGATGCAACCCAACTACTTTTGTAATTCTGCGTTGAAATTCATGTCGGAATTTGTCCTTATCCCTTTTCTCCTTAATCCGCTCATTCATCATTCTTTAAATTACCTTCAGCAGCATTGATTGTAATGCGACTGATCTGCAACAGACTGGATTTTTTCCGTCTTTTCGTCTGAAGATTTGACAGAGTAGCTTGTTTCTGTTCAGCTGGGAGTTGATGCTACTCCGATTAATATCTGAACAGGTGACACACCCAACCTAAGCTAAATTGAACATATTCTATATTTTCTTTAGACGTATGATACTAACTCTGCTGCTGGAATCTTATTTTAAGACTTTAAATTCCTCAAAATAGAAAAAAAGAATGAGGTGAGGAAATATTTCATACGAATAATAGCGTAAGCACTCAGGCAGTTGAAATAAGAATGAAGTGTTTATGTCATGTAGATTCCAGAAGACCTTACAAAGTAGATGTTCATGAAGTCAAATAAGTGACATGGATATGATAGCTGAATGTATGAAGCAGCAAAACACTGTATTGTTCACAACATATTTTAAAATAAAGGACGTAGCTAGTGGGAAGTCCAGAAATGAGTGATGACGTTGATCAAATGCAGGAGACTTGAAGTTATTATATTTGATACACACTGCACCAATTTGTAAGTTCTTTTAAAGGGATTCTTGGAAACCTCCAAGCTGTTATGATATTTAGATCATCATACGTTCGTGGTATGTTACAAGGTACAGTTTGTGCTCTGGATTTAAAACGAGCAGTATTTAAGAGAACCTCAATGAGGTACGTCTACAGCAGTGATAAAAGAATTTGAAATCATGGGCTGGGGAATAATATGGAGGCTTCCTTGTTACTTCGGTGTACCTGAGCGAATGATAGTCAACATCATCCGAACACTTAGGATGAATCACACTGAAAAATCGTGCCTGGAGGACAGCTCACAGATTCGTTTTCAGTAAAGACCGATGTCAGGCAAGGTTGATTACTCAAACCCCTCCCCTTTCTCCTAGTGATCGACTGGATTATGAACACATGAATATCTGGGGGAAGAAGGGGATACAGTGGATAGCTATTATGCTGCAGGACGTTTTGACTTCGCAAATGATCTGGCTCTTCTACCGCACACGCATCAACAAGGAGGGTGGGATATATGATCAGCAATCATAACGGTGGAGCAATAACCCCAATCTGCTCAGGCCTGTGTGGCAGAACATCATGTTCATAAGACAATACATAAACTATAGCAGAGTGCAAGTGTTCAATGATATTGACGTTAGTTTTTAAAGTCAGCCAGGTCAATGACATATGTCTAAGATCTTGAACTGGTTCCAATTCCTACTAACAAATCATATTACGAGCTGATCTAGACAATAACGTTGAAAAAAGAGCTCACTCGTGAGTTATTGAGCTACGGCGTTTAAGACGTAATAAACGAAAAATCAACAAAGCATTAGATCAATATACCTTTATCATTTTATTCTATAAGTCAGTGGGATTTCTAAATATTTAGTTCAATGTAATCTCCTCTATTCATAAGGCTATTTGCCTATCTTACTAGTGACTTGTCCTCATCACCCTAAAGTGCAGGTGTGCAGTTATTGCTCTAATACACAAATAGGTATGGGTAGTCATACCTTTGATCTATCCAAAGAAGTATCTGTTGAGTCACGACTCCTCTGTAAACACGAATATTTTACATTTTTCTCCTTTGTGAGCATATATATATCTATTCGAGATCGTTGTTCTGTCCCTGAACCCCACGTCCCCACTCTCGATCAGGAAAGACTGCAAGTACTCAAGGGCACGACTGTCTATTCTAAGATTTATCTGATACGAGCATATGATCGGATCGCAGACGCTCTTGAAGATATTGAGAAAACTGCTATCGCGACTCCTCTCGGACTTTCTGAGTTCTTACGAATGCCATTCGGATTACGAAATGCTGCTCAAACTTTCCAAAGGTTTATCGACAGCATAGTACAAGAATTTGCTTTTGTTCATGTCGATATTGATGACCTACTGACCGCATCTTCAAACATAGATGAACATCATCAACATCCTGCACTTAATTTAACGCCTTTCAGATAATGGAGTAGTAGTTAATCCAGACAAGTGTGAGTTGGGCAAGGCAGATAGAAAATTCTTATGTCACATCACTAAGCATGAGGGTATTATACCTTGTGAAGATAAAGTACGTACAATCACGGGCTACACTGTACCGTCCCCACTCAAGGAACTGAAGGCTTTTCTCGGTTTGATTAACTTCTACCAACGTTTTATTCCTCACGCGGCAGGACAGTTATGACCATTAACCGACTTACTTCGAGGTATTAAATTAGAATCGAACGATGCCGCGCGTACTGCCTTTCTAGAGATAAAAGAAGCTTTCGCTGAAGTCACGCTTATCGCCCATCCTGACCCATCAGCCATGCTTAGTATAGTGGTTCATGTATCAAATCTTGCTATAGGGGCCGTTTTGCAACAGATTATATTGGGTAGTTGGCAACTTCTCGAATTTTTCTTACGACGCCTTACTCACACTGAGACGGCATATTGTGCTCTTGGTCGCGAACTGCTAGCAGCCTACTGTGCCGTCAAACATTTCCGGGGCGCAGTAGGTCGTAATTTTATCCTCTTCGCCGACCATAAGCCTTTAACGTATGCTTTACATACCAAGTCTGACCGCTACTCACCCCGAGAGTCCAGACATTTGGACTATATATCTTAGTTCACGACAGAACTTCGTCATGTTGAAAGCCGAGTCCAACTATGTTGCTGATGCTCTGTTACTGATTCAAGTGAACACAGTTACTTTACCGATGCTTGATCTTCCTGCCATGGCTGCTGCCCTAGCAAATTATCCTCTCCCTTTCACTGTTCCCCAATCGGCAGTAGTGCGTCGCAACCCAACTGGCACATCTCGCACCAACCATTGTATTGCACATTCTAGAGACTGAAACATTCACAATTTTGTGAAAAAATATTAGCCCTGTGTAAAAAACTAGTGTACATAGTGAAATATTTATCTGACCGAATAACGTTTTACAGGAAATATATTACCAAATCACATTTGAGAGAGAACCCTCGGAGTTTTTAAAGCCATTTACATACCTAGGAAACAGTGTGAATTTGATGCAGATGTGAATGCACGGATCTGTTAAACAAGGACAGCATTCCCACAATAGAGGAACATATGGAACTCGAAACAACTACAGACAAACAGCAAAGTTCAAATTTTCAGTACATATGTCAAGACATTTCTACTGTATAAAGGCGGAGATCGGAGAAATACAAAAGCCATCGTGCAGAAGATACAAGTGTTCATTAACTGTTGTCTATGAAAAATACTTCGGATCAGCTGGGCAGACACTATTCCCAACAACCTATTGTGGAAGTATGGTGGGCTAAAAATCTCAACAAAGTGCAGTTAGCGACCAAGCGTTGCATTGTGAATCACCTTATGTCTGTGAAACACTAAGATGACCTCCGTACCCTAAATGTCTTCGAGGCGCTATGTGCGTTTCGAAAAATGCACTAAAAAGTAATGATGTCGGAAAAAGAGCACGAGGGAAAAATAACATACTTCGAAATTGTCTCCATAGTGATTAACAAAACTGGCTCTCAAGCCGTTACTTACTTGCGAGCGTCAACAGTTCAGTCGTAGTCTTAGTTACCAGGAACAAGTTAACGCGAGAGCAGTTAACAATGGATCATGATAATGGAACTAAAAAACACTAGCTCGTAATTTTCACTTAACGAAACCACCTTACCCAAACCACGTGCTTTAATATTTAATCACTCAATATTACCTATCCTTTCACGATTTTACTCTTGCAGTTTGTTCCATTTAAGTGTCATGTTATGATAGCTAAAATTAATAGACAATCATGCCAGGCTTTATGCTGAACAAGACAGAGCCCAGGTAATGAAGTTTGAACAATGAATTTAAAATACTTATCAATGAGTTCTGTTTCACAGAGTATAGTCTAAGCAATTCAAAAAGAACTGAGTTATAATTTTCAATGGACACGATAGAGATTTAAAGAAGAAAAAGACTAATGGCGTAAATCGGATGGAACTTTCTTTCGTCCCGTTGTAAAAGAAAATATAAAAAGAATCAGAACGATGAGTAAAAAAGATTTCTCAACAGGTCATTCAAATGATGGCATTATAACTGTACTCTACAATCATCACAGTTATTAAATGAATCAGTTTACATATCCTAATATTATATCATTAATAGACAATCAAACCGAAATGTAAATAACTTAAATTAGTAAGACTGAAATTTATAAGGTGACCACCGAAGAATTGACTGAACAAGAGATGGAAATATTACATGAAGCGAGTATATACAGGTTTACATTAAAAAAAAATAAAAAGCACCACATATTATTTATAGGCTAATAAAAAGAAATTTTTTCGGGAAAAAGCGTTACGACAGCTCAAAGCCAGCATGACTATTTATGGCATATCTTAACTTTTCTTTTAATGCACTGCGGGATGAGTAATTAGGTAATTTTAAAAGATTAAAACAAGTTGATGCGGTTGGTAGGCGAGATACTTCTTCACGGCGTCCAACAACCCCCAAAAATCCTTTCAGTACTGATCCTAAAGTATCACCAACATCCTGCCAAGCCAAAAACAAACGGGCAAATATTCAGTGGACGAAAATGCTTCATATTTCAAAACTACATATGCAATTCATCTACAATGAATACACCAATTAGATGATAACTTCGACAACTAAATGTGACTGATTATAGATTGTGAAAAAATAGTTGAAAATGAAATGTATTGTTCTGAATTCCATCTTCCATGATTTATAAAATTGAGACATTTGAGTTATAATTCCTAATAAAGTAAACAATATTTCCTCTGTGTTCATTTTGTACCTGCATAGTACACTTTCCCTATATGTTTTGGAACTCTTACTCTTATCTTCGCCAAGTATTTCCATAAACGAAATATCATCTGTCATTGTAATATAAACAAGAAACATCGTTATTTGTGTACAGTTTTAACAGGAAAACTTAACAAAATATCGACACTAATCTACTTCCTTGTGAATCATCAGTGCTGAACAATAAATAGCTTTCAGTAATATACCATTCAAAAACAAAAAATGATTTTAAAAAACATGATGAATTTGTATCAGTAAAAGATGAGAATAAAAATCCATTCGTTTGAACTCAGTTTCCCAACAAATCATATGATATACAGTCAAAAGTGAGAAAATCAAGTATTCTGAGTAAGTTGTTAGATAAAGTAGCATATTTTAGATTAGACATACTACTTAATAGGTAGGCTAAAAATATTAATTATTGAATGGAAAAGCAACAATAAAGGAAAAAAAAACTTTACAATTCCCATTCGATTTAAAGTACTTGTTGTGATGAAGGATCTTCTAATGGGTAGTTGATGAATTTAGGTAATATCCACGTGATCAAGGTCGAAATTAGGTTGACAGACTCTCGAACAAATAAAGTTATTAAAACATATATCTTTTCCGTATTCACTTCGACAGTTGCCAGTTATAGTTAACAGTGAAATCATTAGTTTTCGAGACAAATATATCTTTTACATAGAAAATTACATTTCACTGTTGTAAATACAATAAAGTTGTCAGTATTTGTAGACATTAAAATATGTCTGATATTAACCATTGCATTGTGTTGTCGATTAATACTCAGAATAAAACTAGGTAACATAATTTGAGAAATTGTACGGAATATGTAAGCGATAGTATGAAGGTGAAAAAAATAACTGGACCAGATAAAATTAAGGTATCGAAATATAGAACCAACTGAATACATAGACATTAGGTGCATTGCATTACTTCACAATAAGGATGATTATTAATAGACCGAGCTTATGGGGGAGGCAAGGTAAACTAAACGTTTTTTTTGTTGAGAACTATAAGTTTTCCTAGTTCAAATTATTACTGTATTGTCTGTTTCAAAGAGATAAAGCGTAGTAGTTCGGTTCTTTCTGTCGCTAATATAGACTAATAAGTATGGGAGTTAATAAGATCTCATTGAGAAAAGTATTCTTTATTGATTTTCTTGTGTTTTATTCAGTAAATTTCAATAATAATTTGAGATAACTTACTTGGTCTTCATTAGTATAATGTACGCAACGTATACAAAATGGTGGTTCAAGATTAGCGAACCCTAAGAGAGGTGGTCTAGAACAACTGGTAACAAACTATGGAGAAAAAAAAAGCGAAAAGGATTGATTTTTATTACGCATAAAAAAGTTGAAATAAGTTATTTCATTAAAGAGTGAGAAAGTATGGAAATTAACAACTTATATCTATATTGTCTACAGCAAACGTTCATAAAATTAATGTAAAGACAAACCAAAGAGATTGTGACTGGTTGGGGAGATACTTTTTAATTACGTCGGTTGAACGTCAGTTATCTAGATTAAATTCATTTATTGAAACGACATACGTTTACGGAATGTACAGAAACTAATTGTATCAGTTGAACAGCTCGAATTATTCAGACGGACAAACTCAATCACAAATAAGGGTACAGAAATTCCATTAAGACACAACATGGTATGAATTAAGCACTATGAATGAATACTAAAAGAGTACCAAAATGGTATAGAAAACTTGAGGTCACTGATAAATTAAATAATCAAGCGTCTCCAAATCATATGACATGATGAATATTCGAGTAAACTGACTGGTTGTCAGTTAGTACAGACTCGCCAAATGATGTACCAAGGGATTATGAGATATAAGAATTTACGGATAAGCACATATATGCATGCCAGTTAAGAAATCACTAACTACTAGCAGAATAAGATTCATGTAAATTTAGCAAAGATATAAGGTTTTAAATGATGACTTTAAGGCCAATCATGTAATTCGTTTAAAGTTTTCAAGCTGAAGTACAAGAGTCAAGGTATTTATACTGTTGACATATACGTGTTTAGATAAATCTATACAAAAAAAGACAGGATGGCAAATACCATAAATATGAATTTAATTGTAACAGTTTTTCGTCGGAAAGATTCGGATTTTTACACGATTGAAGTTATTTTATGGATTGAGATAGACAATGAACCAATAACTAGTTAAGTCAATTAACAAAAGAGGAGAAATAAGCGAAAACAACTTACTTTTAAAAATAAACTACGTTCTCTATCGTCGAAGTCACGTCTTAAGATATCCCATAACCAACGAATTACACGATGATTGCTATGAAATCCACCTGAATAACGTGTATGTTGTCTACAGAAATAAAGGTAAGAGAATGTATTAAAGTCTGTTTTAGAAATGGTTGAGCAGTCAATCGGAGTATGCACCGTATAATTCAAATTCGTTTAAAACGGCACTAATATAACTATATTTAAAATAAATTACTTAACCAATGAAATCTAGACGATACTGAACAATGCTGTTCATTTGTTTTGATTTGTGAGAATTTTATCCGTGTTCAATAATTAAATACAGAATAAATATTAATTTGTGCAAGAAAAGTGAACATGTAAGCATACCATTCAATCAAGTCGTAAGCTGAATACACAGTAATCTAATTTCATATATGCCATCATCATACACAAAGATATAATTAATCAATGTATAAAATTATTAAAACACATTATTCATTGCTTACTTTAAATCATCAATATCCATTGAACTACTATCGCCTGAGATGAGTGTTTGTAATTCTGGTGGAGAAAACATTGCCAACCAATCAGGATTTAATATAGAATAAAATCCTCGTATAAATGAAGCAGTTTGGGCTCTAATTTGTTTATACATTCGGAAGTGAGCAACGCTATGAACGTAACTGATTCTTTAGGTAAATAGAAATAATCAGAATTACAACTGTCATAAAAAATTATTTAAATCAAATTTCTAGATAACATTAATGGTTAACCAGATTCCAAATTTAACAATTTAAGTAAAAATTAATTTAAACATCATATTATTGAATATAACTAGTCGCGATAAATTTCTATGGGTATCACACACTAACAATCATCGTACCGTTCTTTGAAAGCAAACACTTTTATATATAATCTATAATTTTAGCTTTTAAAACACTCATTGGTTGGAAATAAAAAATACCAAACTCATCATAAACATATTTCTTAAATAAAACAATCATTTCTCTATAGTAAACTCGAGATCGAAATGAGAAATGAAGAGTTACGTTTCAATACATCCGAATGTGATTATTTACTTATCAGTAAATAATAACTAAAATAACATAATGTTCTGACACACACACACACACACAATATTTCTATGGATTTTAACAAACTGTTTTTAAATAGGACCAAGGAAAATGTAACCTATTGCAATCCCCTCCTGAATAAATGATACATTATTACTTGGATAAATACGGAACTTCAGGAATTGACGGAATTCAATGTTTTTTTTATATTACTAACATATACAAACTACAACGGAGCGAAAACATGGGATTCAATCAAACAATGACCATTAAATTTGCTTTCTACTTATATCTCAAAACATCTGCTTCTAGCATGGCATTAAAGATAGATCTATGATATACAAACAACAAGCGATTTATTTCAAGTTTACTTTGATGATATAGATAAACTTATTCTAAACTTAAAAAGAAAGAACACTTCAGTTATTGGTAGAGTTACTGAACTAGAGGGCTTTGGAGGAATTGAGTAACATTCGAAAGTTATTACAATGAACCACAATTTGAAAAGTATCTCATTAGATGATATAACGTAAATAAAATTACATACATTATAAACATAAACACTTTGATTTGATACTTTATACATATATAATATGAAAGTAAAAGAAATTAAATTACTTGACATCATTTGTGACAGATATTTGACGACCACCAGGACAGAGATCATGTATAATCATTTGACCTAAACAATCTTCAGCATAGGAATAAGTGAACTCCAAGTCAGAAACATCTCCATCATAATGCTAAGAAAAAAACACGATTCACATTATGAGTAAGAAATGAAAGTCAGCTATAAAAACTACTGACAATTTTATTAGCTTTTCTTCGAAACGTTAATGTAGCTTACTAACTAAGTATTGGATGACCTATTCAGTTTTCAGTAAAAACTAATAATAACATCCGGTTATCTAGATGAAAAATGAACTTACTAATTTTTATAATACAAACTGCTTTGTGACTAAATGATTTTTTATAACTATACTTACTGTCAGTCATTGAGATGTCAAAAAAATTTTAGTAGTTCATTCATAGAATTAGATTTTAATATAGTATGTTCAATATCAACTTTATTCTGTTTGTACCCGATATATATAGATAGACTCTTTATTTTTAAAATATGTAAATTTTGAGAGAACAGTGAGAAGACGTAATTGATCTGAAAAGTGTGATGTATTTGCGCTATACATTTCCAACAATCTAGTCGTCACACACATACTTGTCACAAGCCATATTTATTTATAGTCAATTGTGAAATGACAGGTTCAACCAATAAGAACATAAGCAGTTTGTTGATAATTAATTCAATCAATGAAATACAAGAAAAAGGATGAACTCTGATTATTAATAAGTAAAATAGTCATAGAACGAGAAATTCACATAATACATGTGAATATAAGTGTACTCGAATAAGATGTCATAGAACTGCTAGCAAATCATATTCTTTTACGTTTACTAACCGAAATATTTTCACTAACATATAACATTCTGACAGGCTTAGAATATAATCATATGATGCCTTTGATAAAAGATGCTGAATTTATGTAATTTTTCAGATACCTTGTTTCAAGAAAAATTAGAAAATGTAGAATTAATTTGGTGTACACTGAGAGAGAATGACGCTATTCTAATGTTATGGATCTATGCGAAGTACAAAAGGATGACATGATTTTACCAAATCGATCAAATGTTTGATGAATATTATCTAAATATATTACAAATAAGCAACTTTGATACTATAAAACCACCTGACTATGTTTGACTTTATTATTATAACATTAAGAAACAAGATGGTTGAAGAAGCATTACACGGCAGAGCTTTAGATGTTTGACACCAGTTGATCACATTGAACTGTAAACAAAAACTTCATACATGAAATTTTAAATAAAATCAGCCCATTGACATGGTTATAAGACTGTTCGCTAAGACCATTCAGACAGACAGATACAACGCAGAACTTCGTACACAAGTACATCAGTTCAGGTTTCCATACCACATTAGCACACAGACGCAACTGTCAGAGAGCTTGTATGAAGTACATTAACCTCATACAAGCTCTCTGATCGAACACCACTGGTCGAGTGAGAGCTTATGGCGAACTATCACCGGAATTCTATACTTCAGGTGGCGTCCGTCAGGGATGTCCACTCTTTCCAATCTTGTTTAATTTTATCATAGACATGCTCCTAGAAATAACATTATCCTCGTCTGAATTTTCAGGAGTAGACCTTTTACCAGGTGGCTCGCTTATTGACTTAGAATATGCCAACGCTGACAAAATGCAGTCTTCTGACCACCCTAAGCAACAATGCAAGCATGTTCGGGATGCGGTTCTCATCCTCGAAATGCAAAATGTTGCTTCAAGACTGGGTTTCATCGGCACCTGAACTAGTGATAGGGAGTGAAGAAGTCGAATGTGTAGACCGCTTCACTTATCTGGGTAGTCTCATCAGTGCTGATGGCCTGGTGACTGACGAAATCTCAGCTCGGATACAGAAGGCTCGATTGACCTTTGCCAACCTGCGTCAATTATGGCGTAGGCGAGATATTCGTTTGCTGACTAAAGGACGAGTGTACTGCGCAGTGGTTCGCTCCGTCTTATTTTATGGCTGTGAAACATGGTCAGTGAGAGTAGAAGATATTCTTAGGTTACTGGTTTTCGATCATAGGTGTCTTCGAAGCATTGCTCGTATATCGTGGGACACCTGAGTGAGCAACGCTGTTATTAGGAAACGGGTGCTAGGTAAGAATGGCAGAGCAATAGATGAAGGGATGAAACTTCATCAGTTGAGGTGGTTGGGACATGTGCTGCGTATGCCGAACCACCGACTGCCTCGACGAGCTTTGTTTTGTAGTGTAGGAGTAGGTTGGAAGAAAGTTAGGGGCGGCCAGATCAAAACATGGCAGAAATCCATAAAATCATTGACGAGTGGACTTAGCCATGTCGGTAATTGTCGACTACCTGGTTGGGGTCCGCGAGATGATAATAATCGATGGTCAGAGACCTTGAATGACATGGCTCAAAATCGTTCGCAATGGCACCGCTGCATATATTCTTTGTGTTCTCTCAAATCCTAATCTTCTGGATTCTTCAACTTTGTAAACCTTTCCCACTGAATCATACTTCTTGAATTATATCTTCTAATCCTAACCTCTCTGATTACTTCTAATACCTTTACTACCTCTTCTACTATTGGATTTGTATTGACAATTACATCTCTGTGTTGATGTGGTATGGCGACATAAACTGATGTACTTACATACAAAGTTCTACGTTGCATCTGACGGAGTGACTGACTGCAACTGTCAGTTCAAATCTAATAGTAGTAGCGATAGTAGAAGTATTAGCAGTAATGGAGAAGATTGGGGAGCAAAGATATGATTCAAAAAGTATAATTCAGTGAGATAAATTTAGAAGGAGAAAGATAGAGATTATGAGGAATTCAGAAGGTTAGAATTAGAGAGAACACAAAGAGTCGATGCACCTGCGCCATTGCAAACGGCCATTCAGAAATTTTGTATGAACTTTTAATGGTTGGTTGCATTACTTAGATATATCAAGTGCAGGTGAATTGGAGAGTTTTGCAAATAATAAAACATCATTGCCACTGCTAGAATGGAAGTTCATTGACCAACAACTACACAGGAAAGCATTGAATAACTGACTCTCTAATATCACTAATTTAAAGTTAGTGACTTTATCGTCTGGTAAGAAGGAATTAGTAACTTTGTTTAAAACTTCGGATATTTTATAGAAACTAAAGCACAGTGTATGGATTATTGCAATGAATTATAACATTTCTCAGTCAAACCAATAAAAACCGTATTTTTTCTTAGACTATATGTTTTTCTAAAACACACCAGCTGCAAAACAGAATTAAAAAGAACTAATTTCAACAACTGATATAGAAATATTAACACCACAATTTTCGATTTTATGTCTGTAAAATAGTATATATTAAATGAAAATTGATGTAGCACAAGGGTCTATGGTCATATATATTGAATATAGATATTTTGTTTCACAACTCATCAAGTTTACTCAACCTTGAAACATCGATTATTTTTGTATGATATAACTTTTGATCTGTTTGCCTTTTAGTGGTGAAAGCATAGAAGCAATGCTTCATAGAGGAAAAAATGAGCTAAATAAAATTCTGGATAGTATTAATTGTACTATTACTGAACACAATTAGGAATACCCGATTCCAATATGTTTAACGGGAAATTTGAAACATTATTCCATCGCTTACTTACTATTCATAATTTACATTAATCGATAAGTAAGCAATTTTCGTGTAGTTTTTCATATGTTTCGGGCAGAAAAGTATGTACACATATGCGAACCTCGTAAATTGATATTAAAAGTGGAATCAACTAGTTAAGCTGATAAGGTTTAAAGAGATAGTTTGAATAGTATTTGAGGTAAAAATTCACAGCATTACTACTAGTAAAACACACACCACCTTTATAATCAGTCCTACAAAAAATCGAAGTCTGTTTAATTTATTTTTCATTATCATCAAAGAAACAGTTTGGGATGAAATTTTCCTGTGAATTATTCCACAGTTATATTTGATAAATAATTTACGGTTTCAAAATGTGTAACTTAACAATCTTCACAACCCTGTAATACAATTACCTGTGCTCACTAGTGACTAGCTTCATGAGGAATCGTCTCCGAGTTCTAGTGGTAAATAGTAACCAGCGAAGTTAAACCTGTTAGGGTGTAGACAGTAACTACTGAAGACTGTGTATGAGGTTGCGCGATTCCGTGAATTGATCAAGTTAGACATTAAGACCGTTAGATACCGGCTCAGTGATCCGGAGGTTAGGCGTTCTTGCACAAGACCAAAGGTCCTGGGTTCGAATTCCACGGAGTGCAGGAGTCGTGGGTGCGCACTGCTGATGAGTCCCATACCAGGACGAAACGACCGTCCAGAGCTTCCAGATTTTTAATAGTGGTCTAACACTAATCGATTCATGGTTTCAAAATGTGTAAAATAATTTTAAAAAATAATGAAATTAACTAATGCAGAGAATTAAACTAACTTTAATATAACTTAAACTTTTGTACAATTCTCTATCTAATGTGGCTAATTCATCAAGAAAACTGTAACAGCCTGCTTTTTCACGACCAAGTAATTGAGTTAGAAAGAAATTCGCAAATGGCACATCAACAACAATGCACTAGAAAAAGTAGAAAATACAAACAACAGTAACAACAGAAATGCTTTGAAAATTATTAAAATTAACTAATAATAATAATATATAAAATATTTAATTATTCGTTACAATAAAATAAATACTTTTCAATGACATGATGATACAGGTTACTTGAAGAGTGTGAATTCTATTCTATTTACTGTTAATAACAAGTACAATAACTTATGAATATGAAGTGATTGATTACATAACAACGAAGATAAAACTAAAACACAGGTAAACTTTTTTATGGCAGTGTGCATAATTGTTAATCATAAGAAAATAATTGTTACTTTGATGATTTGAATGAAAAAAGATGTGCACATAAAACGTGTAACTATGGTTAACATTTGATATCTTATACGTTGATGGTGTTGTGACTTCTGAGTAAAATGATCGAATTACAGAGTTTTCATTATCATTCTAGATAACAACTTCAACACCTACTTCATGATCCATCTGAACTAAAAATCACCATCATTTCAATATTTCATACATTTTAGCGTTATTGCAATAGAGAGTAATTTAACTGATGATACAATCCATACAATCAATTCACTTACTTTTGAACATGATAACAAGATGCTACATAGTTAAACAATTCTAATCCTATTTCTGTTTCATATAAAATCTGAGCTACGATATTTTCTGATCATTAAGTTCGACTAATGTTCACATTGATCTAATCAGAATTCTAACAAAAACAGATCTAATATTAAAAAAACTAAGGAAATAAGTAGTGTATTTAATTAGAAATACCAACTTGAAACTATAATTGATTGGTTACTGTTTACATTACAGTTTTGTTTATTTAAACTCAGTTGGTCAAATGAGATGAGATTAATACTCATTAGACACAAGATATGGACTATTGTTCAAAACATTAATTTATACATATCTTAATTATTTTTTAAATGTTCATTTAGACAAGAAATACATTTAAAAACCACACGGAGTTAGAAAAATTTGATACATGAATGTATTAACCATCATATTTAAAACACCATGGAAACGTTTCCTATCACTATGTAATAACAATGAAGAGCTTTGTAAGAACAGCCTGACTTCAGTTTACGATACTCTTCTATTTAATTTGAATAGCTTTTACTTTATAGGTACAAGTGATATAATACAAGAGTTCAAATAACATATTGATTTTAAATTACATTATTGAAATAATATAACAAATGGCAACCTGTGACAGGAAAATTCCTTATACATGAAGACTTTTTGGTACTATTTTGTATTAATTACTTTAAGAAAAACAATGGACCGTTTAGGCGTTTGTTTACGACCTAATTAAACTCTGTCTTTTCTTCGCCTTAAATGATTACCGAAAATAAGTGAAGGACGCTTTAAATTTGTGCACGTCCAAACTCTGAGCTGACTAACTGGTAGTACAGTAAGTACCATTAGAATCCATGTAAAAAGTATGAATCAAATGTGAGTGAAGCGATAACCATTCAAATATTATGTACCATCAATGTTTAAAATAATTTACAATTCAATATCAGCATTAGTTAATACATAGATTGTATTCGAAAAAAAAATCACTAACCTCATAGATAGCTTTAGCAAGCATTTTACCCAAAAATTCAAAGAGCTGTAAATGACTTTCTTGTAAATGTGAAGTGGGTGATGGATATAAACGCTGGTCATTGGTTACACGAAATAAATTTAAACTAGGGTCAAATACGCGACGAAGTGTTTCTTCTAAAAATTCCTTAAACACACCATCCAAATCAATACCAACTTCATCTAAACCCTACATTAAAATATTCGGACAAATAATGGAAATATGAACAGCTGAATGATAAAATTGAAAGCAACTCATACATTAAATATTTTAACAAGTATATAAAGTGTGATTGATAACTGTACACCAACTAACGATCAAATCTATTATTACTCAATAAATAAAGTTTAGAATCATAGTAATTTTGCTAGTTTATTAAACGGTTAGGTGTCACAGCCTACTGATTACTGCTTTATTTGTTTCTAAAAAAATTTTCAAGATGACTTCAGGTTATATAGTTCCATTTCGCTAATAAATGATAGCTCTTCATGTAAGAACAACAGCGGTAGTTTTCTAACTTATATTTTCGTAAAAATCTTTGCTGATAGTTGACTGGTTCTTTTTTTATTTTTAGTGGAATCTAAGAGTCATTTCCTGCTATAGAACACATGAAGTTATTCCAAACAAGTTTAATGTTCCTTCTGAATAGATATTTTTTCCCTTAGTATATGTATGTTAAACGCCACAAACAGACCTAAGAAGACGATATTGGACTGCCTTCGGTAGATTAGCATTCACGCTTTAAATGATATTGACGGAAGTTCAATAATACAACACCTTGTGGACAGAGATAATTCTTTTAGAAAGATAAGTCTTTTTCTTTGCATCCATGAGAGAATATCAGCCGTTTTTGTATTTTAGTTTAATTATCCCCTAAAAATGCATTAAATCTAGATTCATGTTATTCACAACACAGACTGTAAGGCACACAAACTGCATAATCTCGTATAAAACAATCCATCTTTTAATTATTAAATATAGCATAGCATAGCAGAAAATCGAAGAACAACAATAAGAATTAGGCATTCCTTTAACCATAGAAAATGATTTAACTTCAGACTGAAACATACCATTTCGTTTACAAACTGTACACGTATTTTCATACGTAACTGAGGTGAAGTTAAATTTGCCAATTGTTGATAACCGTCCTGAAAGTGAAACAAAATGAGTTAGTAAAATAATTCCAGAATAAATATTTTATAATAGATTTTGTATATTTACGAACAATAATAATAACACTATAACTTACTTCAACAATACGATTTCTATGAACTGTGATAACAGCACCAACTGGACCATCATCTGTTAGCCAATTTGTACGAGTATGTATCCCTAGTGATGCTTTATCTTCACGTACAAAATCACGAAAAAGAATAACACGCTTAAAAGAAGGATTTATTAATCAATTATTAAATAACAACAACATACGTCTTTGTGAGGAATGATATGCGGGATATGCTTGAGCAGAAATGTTGCATGTGGTTTCGGTTTACGTAAATCTGCTAAAAATGCTGAGACTTTAAGGTTTCTGATTTCAATAGAAATTTCGATTAATTGGTTGTGGTTTCATCAATGAGGATTACCGGAATGAAAAAACAAGAAAATAAAATATAAATAATGAAGAAATTTACCAGTGTTTTCATGAAAGTAAACAGGAAAAAATTAAATTCCTTATTTTGACCCCACAGCCATTACAGTAAACCTTAACTAACATGGAAAAAAAGTGATTAGTCTAATATTTTAAGCTTGAAATACAAACAGGTTACACAAAAACTTTAAATCAAAACGATGTATGTGAAATATTAATTGAACTATAGTAGAAAAAAAATGATAAGATAAAACTGTTAGTTCAAACAATATTACTCCTCCTTATGAGGGGAGGATTCCTTGTTCCATACACTTGAGTAAAACCGATCCAAGTGATATCTGAGGCATCCACTGCACAACTACAACTAGGAAACTGATGTTTTTTTAATTAAAATTTACTAAATTTATGGAGACATGTAATTAACAATCGTAAAAACAATAAGTAATTTATAAAATTAATTAAAAGGTTTATTAAGGAAAAGATGATTACAATTAACAAGATATTGATAACTTATATTTAGTTGATTAAGGATTTAGTATACTTGAATCCAATATCGAAATATTAAGTCAAAATGTAAATATGCCAGTGTTAAGTCTGCTACTAGATAGAGCTAATGCACAATACAACTCTTGACACTAGAACTAGGAGAACCATCCTCCAGGTCACTGGATTTCAGTCAAGTAGTCTAGAGATTAGGCATTCGCATGCTCCACCGGACATACCGTGCTTGACAGTCGGTTCAAGCGTTATGCGTGCGCATTGCTGAGAAGTCCAGTACTACGATGAAACGACTATCCAGGGCTTTCAAATTTCCAATGGTTGTATAAATTAAGTTAGTTCGCGATTTAGATAAAAAAAATGTATAACCTAATCACATTCACATGTTAAATATACAGATTAAGTATCATACAATGAATAAATGTGAAGTACATACAATGTTTTTTTTTAAAGTGACTTACGATATTAACCAAAAATCCGGTGGTGTAAATAAATGTCTACTATCTCGTTCATAGATTACAGATAATAAACGTAAACAAATTGTAAATAAATTAGGCATAACAGTAGATGAACTAGTTGATTGAACAGTAGATTTATTATTATTATTATTACTGGTATTATTAATCACAACAGATTCATTGGTTTTACTCAATTTATTATCTTCTTTACAAGATGGACTCCATAATTTAAGTTGATTAGCTTTAATCCAGTGAGGAAAAAACGCAAAAAAAGAAAAATAATACAACAAGTGGACTATTTGAACAAAAAAGTACGAAAACATTAAGTGTTATATAGATTACGTCAAAGTATTCATAGTAGTTAACTATTTTATGTTCAGTTTGTCTAGCCTATACACCTTTCTCAGTTCAAATCAGAAGTATGGAGTTTATAGCTACAATTGTTAAAACATTATTTCTAGTCATAGAACTAGATCTATTATCATCGAGAATATGTCATAAACAAATACTGCTAGCAACATTATGAATATATAATTATAGTAATACTCATTTAATTCTTGCCATTTTACACTAACAGAAATGGGTGCCTTGATAAATAGCAAGAATTGTAGTTGTATTTACTGTTTAGCTTCAGTCTTTTTTGTACTATTAAGTAAATATGTTGAAATTGTTCGAAGTATATTACCTATACAGCTATAGTGAATATCAGCAATGTTGATACTGTTACCACAACAATTGAAACTGATCATAAGATTCTTTTAATGAAATGGTAACAATTTTGTCAAGCACTCAACTATCCCATAATATACAGTTATTGAGTGTTATTGTTTATTGAAATCATGAATCAATCATTGCTAGACCATCATAGTCAGTCAGTCAGTCAGATGCAACGTAGAACTTCATACGTAAGTACATCAGTTCATGTTGCCATACCACATCAGCACAGAGATATAATTGTCAATTCAAATCCAATAGTAGTAGTAGACCATCATAAGAAACCTGGAAGCAATGAACAGCCGTTTCGTCATAGTATGGGACTATTCAGCAGTGTGCACCCACGACCACTACTCGCGGGAATCGAACTCAGGACCTTTCGTCTCGCGCGCGAACGCTTAACCTCTACACCACCGATCGATTCATGATTTCAATGGAAAACAACAATCCCCATAACACTAAAAGGAATATCATACAATGTGCTCACAAGCGACTAGCTTCGTGAGAAAATTCTGGGAGTTTGAGTGAAAAGCCGTGACCAGTGGAGTTTAACGCTGTCGGGTGCAGTTAGGCAGTAAGTAGCGTAGACGATGGGTGAGGTTGCATAAAACCTAAGATTGATCTAAGTTAGACATTAACACTGTTGGATCCCAGCTCCGCGGTCTAAGGGTTAAGCGTTCACGTGAGAGAGCGAAGGTACTGGATTCGATTCCCGCGAGTAGCGGTCGTGGATAAGCACTGCTGAAGAGTCCCATACTATGACGAAACGGCTGTTCAGTGCTTCTAGGTTTCTGATGATGGCCTAACAATGACTGATTCATGATGTCAATGATAAATAAACTCATTTACCAAGCATTTTCGGTAGGAGCTAATGATACTACATGTTTGCGTGAAGGGAAGTAGATACAACAGGGTTCGGACCTGCGACTTACTGGACGAAAGTTAAACCGTTTAACCACTAAGTCCTCTTTTGACATTTTATGTAGGAGCTTGTAATAGTAAAACAATAATCAGACATCTTTATTATTGTACCATTTTGTGCGGAAATCCTCATAAAATTAGGTCAGCTACGAATCACACTATTAAATTTTATCGACCTATTTGCTTACTTACAAACTAAGAATAAAGAATCACGCTGTGAAATATATAAGCCAATATTTTTTTACCACTGAAATATGTAAGACTGGTTTGACTAAATTAAATTAAACAGGTAATTAACAAATTTGCTCATGATATCTCTGAATTGTTCAAATACATTACTTCATCATTCATCCAAACGATAAAATATTCTATTTTATAGGTTAATTGTCACCTTTGACACGTATAATTTCGAAGAAATACATAGGTATACTGAAAATTACCAACAATCTCAACAATAAAAACTATCTTGATATTTTGCTAAGAAAGTGTATTTTAAGTTTCAATGTCAGAATGTAAATTTTCATACCATTTCTAAACAATTTCAGTACAGACATATTGATAGCGACGAATTAAAATGCTTTAATATAAAAATTCACTACTTAACTAAAAATACACAGATATTATTGTTCTCTCAAACAAAGATGTAGATGAGATATAGAGGAATTTATGATACATGGCAATTGAATTTAATAAATATGAGATAGTTTAAAGTATTTCGTCATGAGTATCTATTTTAAAAATTATTTCTAGTACCCGGTAGTGTCACTAAGTGAGTTAATTAGAGGTTATTCAAAAGTTTTTAAAGGAATAATGATAAATTAGTCAATCAAGTAGTGAACATCAATTAACCAAGATCCAAGACTTATCACCCACTCAAATAACCTGTATTGCCTGAAGTGAAAAAAGAACTGACTTAGAAATACACAGGATAGAAAGTGATTGAACTAACTAACTGCATTTCACAAGGATATAGACACCAATGATTGAAGCCGACAGATGATATGACTCAATAAAATGGTGAAAATCCATACATCTTTTATTTTTTAACGAATTTCAAAATCTCTTTCTTGCCAATCTTATCAGTATTAATGTCCTCTTCCTAGCAGTATTTTTTACACACAATGCCAAGGAGCGTGACAAATTAATCTGATGCACCAATGCATAACAGTCTAATATTTTCTTTATTTAAATTTTTATTTGTCAACTGATACTAGTTAGACAATTATCAAGTTTGATTACCCATGTTATAAGAATATTGCCATAGTGAATCGATCAAGGAATGTAAAACCCAAAGTTTCCAAAATATACTTTCTCTACGTAGCTCAATCTTTCATAGAATATTTTCGCTTTTTTGTTTATCGACATACATGACACGATGAATATCCTGTAACTACCAGACTGTAAATTTGATTTTGTTTGAATCATTTTGATATTTTGCCAAAGTTTATGTTTAATGACATCAATTAAAATTTATCTTAACAACAGAATAAATAATACTTGGGTTAAACAATTATATAAATAAAAAATAACAAGCACTTACGATCCGGTACCATAATAACTGATTCATAAATTAGATGATTAAAAAATGAACCCATTGAACATAATTCATCGATTGTAAAAGATTTTTTCAATTCAAATAATTCAGCATCATCTAGTATGCTACAGAAAATGTATGCAGTGAATCATATAGATGCATTTATTATTTTCTCGAAGAAAATGAATATATTTTTTTAAAACATTCAATTATTTATAAACAGAGCAAAAACAAAGAGTAGTGAAGAATAATATGAATCCATTTTATTTCGTTAGATTCTCATTAACATATTCGATGTTCTGGAACTTCCACCTTCGTATTCATATGTATGTCAATTTCTGTGATAATTTTGATTTTAGAATATTATAGGTTATAAGCAGTTTATGAGAACCTAATGAAATAAAACAAATTCATCCTATTCTGCATTAATGTTTGTTTTTGCTCTGTAGATTCATTTAACAGTACGTGCCAAATAGTCTATACATGATTTTATTTATTTAAGCATATAAACACCACATAAATCATTGAATTTGTGTGTGAGATGGGATACTGTCCGCGTACCTGAACCGAAGTAGATGGCTTGCTTACGACGTAACTCACGAGGTTTTCACTTACAGGTCTAATACACACGACAATGCAGCACCAACAACAGGTCTATATGCCATTCGTTCCCTTACGATCCTGGACGCTTGTGTACCATTCGTTTGGAATCAGGGTTTTTCAACTCCTCAAGGTGAATTCGACATACCAACCAGCCCAGTTGGGGTCCGCGAGACGAAAGTCACCAATGGTTAGAGACCTTAAAAGATATGGATCATAATCGTTTGCAATGGCGCAAGTGCATCCACTCTTTTTGTTCTCTCAAATTCTAATCTTCAGAATTCCTCATTATCGCTATCTTTCTCTTTCCAAAGTTACCTCACTGAACTATACTTCTTGAATAATATCTTTAATCCGTAATATTCTTCATTACCGCTGATTCTTCTACTATCTCCACCACAAATGCATCCCTGTAAGGCAACCTAAACTGATGCACTTACGTACGAAGTTCTAAGTTGTAACTGACTGACCAGTCGAGTTTAAACATTAGACATTCGGTTTTCATTTCTTCAATTTCGTAAACTATATCCCCGCAACAAGAAGGTAGTATAGTGAATAGGACTTCTCTAACAGTAACCATACATACGCGCAGATAGGAAGGAACATTTCGAAAGATGAGCGGATCGCCTCTACTCTCGACCGTACCAGGGAACAGGATTGAGTAATCTGAATGAGATATTTTTAACGCAGAATACACTACCATGAAAAACTATTTTAAGTCGCGTTTTAACGAAAAATGTTTCAAATACAGTCAATAGCATTGGGTGAAACAATTAGATAAAATAAACAGATAAAAAGATATTTTCCGATAAAATTTTAGTCTAATCACTAAGTAAAGTGCCGTAAAATCTTGATATGCTTTGTATTCGTTAACAGAGGTGAGTTCATTCATATATACACCCCATTTGAAAGCCATCTACTTTACACAACACTCTATGACAATATTATATGTATATATCATACACACAATAGCTGTCGATCGAAGTAAAAAAACATGAATGTAAACTTCGCTTGGTGAGTTACAATCGGTTAAAATATAAAAGTATTTTATGGAAGATTAGATAACTTACCTTAATAAATTGCTTGTAGCTGAAGCAAATATTTGCATTAAATGAGATTCGTGTGGTTCTAAATAGTAAACAGACTGAGAATTCATAATCACATGAGCCCAATCACGCACAGACCCACAACAAGAAATCAAACGCCACATACGAGGTAGTAAATCACCTAATGATAAACCTATTGTGATTGTCATTTAAACACAATAAAATAAGACATAGTAGGAAAAAGTGATTCCGAGAAAAAACATTACGACAAAATGATCCTAGTAAAGATCCAACTTGCAAGCAAACAGGAACCGTTCAGTTTCTTAGTTACTTTGAAATTGATTGAATGACAAAGACATCCAATCAACTAAGTAGAATTTTCAAGCGAAGCGTATAAAAAAGACTTTCAGTAAGATCAATAATTTAGAATGTATTCTCTAAATAGTAGTATGAGTTGACACGTCTCACAGTTTATTAGTTTCAATTATAAGACTGTAACATCGCAGTCAGTCAGTTATACGCAACACAGGACCTGGTGCATGTGTTCATCTCTTCAAGTTGCCGCATTCCATTATTAACACAGTGAAATCTTCAAAGCAAAGCCCAAAGTTTCAGAACTAATAATAGTACTAGTGGTAGCAAAAAAATTAAGCCTATAATATATGATTCCAGAAAAAAATATGAATTAATAGAACGATTTGAGAAAATCCGATGCCCATGATCTACGGGAAGAAAATGAGTGGAGGCACCGACGTTAGAGAAGTCTGTTAGCCTATCAGCATAAGATGTGAGTTCAAACAGGTAGTTTAGAGCGTAATATCAAGAACAGTATTTAGTGGTCTCGAATCGTTAGCCCTTGTGGTGCATGGGGATTAAGTTACAGGAGAAAGGTTGATAATACGGACAGAAGGAACATTAAGAACTGATGAAGGGATTTGATTGTAAAGAAGAAGAGCTCTAAAGCTGTCAGAAGTATGAAGCTGGTCATTAATTTTCAGTTGCCTATACAGTGAAAGGATAATTCTTCTTGGAAGACCTGAAAAGGGAACTAGGGAAGTGATACTCTCAGTGACAGAGACGAAGAGACAACTGCCTGAGACCGATAATACATGACTTTTCTGCAGCGACTTTTTATGTAGCAGCTTTGTGCTTGAAAAGGCCTTAACATAGGAAAAAAAATCTGTGGGGCGAGGTGAGGCTGAATATTCCTAAGGCCAACTTTTCAAACCTCTTTCGCCAGAAGCATCAATGCAGATACTGGTTGCCTGGGAAAAGCACCTAATCGCCATTACACCGTAGTACATTTGGCGGAACGACTTCGCCTTAGAATAATTTGTTGTTTTGAGCCCTGCTATTGCCCAACCAATATAGATGAAATGGTAAGACCTATAAGAGAACCTGTTCTAACCAATATAACCAGATCGGATCATTAAGATAGACAATTCCAACCACCAAAAATGTAACATTTATAGAATTTTCATAACAAACAACTAACTGAAGACCACAACGTACGATATCTAAAACACATGTTAAAATCTGAAGAAACACTTTACTAAGACACTGAGATTCAGGTTGTGTTAGCCTGACTACAATGAACCAAACACTGTTTTAAGACCAAATTCGTCAAAAATTTTTAAAATAACTTGCTTTACTTGTTATACTTAATCTGTGTGATGTATGCAAGTGATTTATTGATCAGTTAAAATCAACAGCCCAAATGCTAGTGAGCTAAATAACTTGGCTTACTGTCTCAAATAAACCTAAAGTGCATTCCAGAGAAAGTCAACCGAAAACAATCCAGAAATACGTCTAATTTGTTTCAGTAGCTAAATCTCTGCTCTAGTAAGGTCAGCAAAGACATTTCTTTGATTAAATTTTCTTTATTCGAAAAATTTGGATTATTTTATACACTGAATTAAACTATTATTATATTAGCGTGATGGCTGTGGCTTAGCATCAATCAACAGAAACGTAGAACTTCGTGTATGAATATATAAGTTCGGGTTGCCATACTGCATCAGCACAGAGGCGCAACTGTCAGTTCGAATCCCATGGTAGTAGAGGTAGTAAAAGTATTAGCAGTAATAGGAGAGATTACGGTTTAACGATATTATTCAAGAAGTATGATTCAGCGAGATAAATTTAGGAAGAGAAAGGTAGAGATTATGAGGAATGCAGAAGGTTAGAATTTCATAGAACACAAAGAGTGGATGCACCTGCGCCATTGCACACAATTCTGAGCCATGTCATCCAAGGTCTCTAATCATTGGTGACTTTCGTCTCGCGGACCCCAACCACGTAGCCTACATCTACCAACATGACTCAGTTCACTTGTCAGTGACTTCGTCGATTTATGAAATGTTGTGCTTTGACAGCAACTAGCTCTCTTCCAACCTGCTCCAACACCGCAAAAAATTGCTCGTCGAGGCAGTCGGTGGTTGGGCATTCGTAACACATGTTCCAACCACCTCAACTGATGAAGTTTCACTACTTCATCTATTGATCTACCATCCTCACCTAGGACCCGTTTCCTAACAAAAGTATTGCTTACTAGGTTGTCCCATGATACACGAGCAATGCTTCGGAGACACCTATGACCGAAAACCAGAATAGCATAATGAACAAAAACTTCTAATCTCAGATTTTAGTCATCCAGATAATGAAGTTGAACTACAATAGTAAACAATCGTCAAACAAGTACACACATTACTCACTTTTTTTCAGGACGAGAAATTAAAAATCTAAATTTACTATTAGAAAGATGATTGGATGAATGAACAAGTGTGAAGAGCTTGAGTGATAAAGGTTCGGAAAAATCAATTTGTCCCAAATCTTCAGTCCAAGGAATATCAGAAGATAGGATGATTGGCTAACGAAAGTTGTTTTTTAGTCAATACCGTATTTGCTTACATATGAAATAGATAACACTGAAACAAATATTTATTTAAAATCTCCTGACATCAGTCTAAACAGTGACATTCACTTTATGAGTACTCTGGAAAAATGATCTAAAACCGTGGTCTGTATTAAGAGATAAACACCAAATTAACTCATCTACTTTCTTCCTAAATGACATACACCATTACAAAACAGTAAAAACATTTTTATTCAGGTGGACAGAATAATAATGAAGCATAGTTCAACAAAAATAAAGAATAGAATTTGTTTAACCTGCCTGCCAAAATAGCGCTTCTAATTTCCTTTAAACTTCCAGCAGTAAAACAATAAAGCATACATACAGCTTTTAGCGATTTCGGCAAATCACTTGGTCCAGGACCATCTGATCGCCCAGTAGAAAGATTTGGAATGTAATTATTGGTTCTTTCTTTCTTATTTTGAAACCTAGCACGATATGATGAAGAATTGGATATCTGACGTAGAAAATTTGAAAGACCATGGCGTACACGATATCCGTAACCATCAACATCAGAACTTCCTGACTTACTACCACCCATACGTGAGATAGGCGGCAATAAGCCTAACACAGCAAGTTTCTCAGCCTTCGAAGGTATACCAGGTCCGTGTTGGTTAGTTGTACAAGTTTTAGTTGTGCTGGATGAGCCACTGTCTGATGCATTTGCGTCAGGTAAATTTAATTCAGCTTGCGCATACAAATCAGCAAATAAAAGACGAACCATGCGGCCATTCCAAAGTAGTCTTAACTGGCTTGTTACAAAGGACATGGCTGATTGTAAACTGAAACATCAATAGTGAGAAGAGTTAGCTTAATCATTGTAAGGGTTGTCCACTTTCTTTATTCTTACTTAACTTCATCACTGATATGCATTTACAGACGACACTTTCATCGTCTGCCTTTTCAAAAGTTGAACTTTTACCATGAGATTAGCTTGATAATTTAGAATATGCCGGTGGCATAGTTCTACTTGGTGAAGATACTGACAAAATGCAGACGTCTGACAAGCCTAAGCAACAATACATGCATGTTCGGGATGCGATTCGCCCACTATGCAAATAATGCAATACACTTCAAGGTGAAATTTTATAAAAGCTCATAAGACATGTGACTCACATCAAGGGTATGGAATTTTTTTAGAAAATGTTAGGCATTACTTTATGAGATGAGATAAAAATGCGACAAAAACAATATTTCAAAATGACTTGTTAAATGTGCAAAGCAAGTGGCTTTATTACAGCTTTAAGTAAAGATAAACACATAAATATACCTAATAATGATAGGATCTAAGGTAATGCAAGAAGTGCGCTGTATTTATAATAAACATAGTACCAAAGTACCAAGAAGTTAGACTAATTTAAGTAATTCCTGAGATATATGACGACAGATACCATGTAGATATTTTACCACTGTTACTCTATCTTTTCAGGAGCAGCTGTTTTTATACTGAACACAGTATTTTAGACTTTGCATGGTAATCTCTACAATTCGATTTATGCTTCACACGTTTTGTTTGATATGAACTAATTTGCCATAATGCCCCAAAAAATGAATACTTACAGAAATGCTTTTTCCCGATGACATAATTTTAAAATTGCTGCAACGGCTTTCCTCGATCCAGTAGCACAGTGGAAAACGCATTGCAGCTTGAAGTGAAAAGTGATGCAGATACATTTAGCTGATGAGTCTTAAACAGGAAGGAACCCGCCTGAAGGAACCCATTGCCAGCTCCAATCAGTTTATTCTAATTCGTGAAGACATTTGATTTCATACGCACTAGCTTACATTATAGCTTTACTATTAAAATAAGCTTCACAATTTATAGACTATTTCGTACACTTTGTCAATTTTTGAGACAACATTGTTTGGTTTGATTGAAACTAAGAAATTTGGACACTTTTTAATTCTTTTAACAATTAGAAAATATTTTTTCAAATGCAAATTTTTGATGACGTTTTCACATAAATATTCAACTACTTTATAAAAGTCATTATTTTGAACAAGAAAAGCCAAAAACCACTAGTTCCAAAAAATAACTTCCGGGAGTCCATTATGTGTTTTAATGATATAGGTAATTGTTATGTGTGGTGGCCGAGATCTGATTGCCATACACGTTAACATCACACACTAACCATTTGAGCTTTAAAGGCAGGAGCAAGATAACCTCTATCTGGATACCGAATAATATGAACTAACACTTGTTTATATACATATATATACATATATATATATATATTCGCTCTTTGGGAAATTTTCTGCTCATCAAATGGCCTTCACATTAGGGCACTTCTGAATAACTTACTATATCAGTAATTTTACTTTGAAGCAAAAAACTACCAATCTTAATTCTGTTAATCTTTTTGCTACTAATACCACCGTTATTAAGATAATTAAGGTTTCAGTACTCATAATGATAAACTGTCCTGCAATCCGTACCGATTGTAATTTAGTGTATGAATGTAGCTCGGTGACAGTAAGAAATCATGTATTGTTTTGAGCCGAAAAACACTTAGGAGTCCACCACTTGGCTGTGATCTTTCCGATAACTGCCCATATTTCTAATACGACAATTGCATTTTTGTGCTACCGTGGTATGGCAACTTGAGCTGATGTACGTACGTACGTTGCAGCTGACTGACTAACTAGAAGTTTGTACAAACTGCATTGTGTAGTGCAAGAGTTTGAATCTCGAATAAAATATTTTGAAAATGAGCAATTTTAACAGCAAGCTACTGCATTAATATACACAATTGTTGAGTTTTAAAAACTCTATTTGTCTTCATTTCATGCAAAGTTCATACATACGCACATGTTTGGATTCAGGTCTTTTTTATATCTGTCAAAACTAAAGTGTGGTCAGAGTATAATGAGTTTTAAGTGGTACTAAAGAGATCTAGTCAAATGAACCTACAATCTGACTTTCAAAAAATTCATTGAACAAAGATTACAACAATTTGATTTTATATAACTTATCAGTTCTAGTCGACGTATAAGATTTTGATTTTTGTGTACTACCAAGTGAAAATATTTTTAGTTACAATGTTTTTCTAAAGTTGAGTTAGAAAAAGAGGGGAAGTTAACTGTTAGTGTATATTATTGAAATTTTCAAGAACTTACGAATTGTCTAACGATTGAGCGAACCACCCCAAAATCGGATGCCAACTGCAATGGTTCGACTTTTTACTACCAACATAGGTACTCAAATAATGCATAGATTTGGATACAACAATCTACACAGAAATCAAAAAAAATCGAGACATTTATTCTTCGTTTACGAAAAATTGAAATGAAAACATGTTATTAATACTGGTGTAATCAAAGATATAACAACAAATATTTTTATTATGATTTTGACAATCAAATCAAATGTCTGTTGTTTATATTTAGTGATAATGAAACTGTTACTTGTTTACAAAGTACTCAATCAATGTATCATAAAAATGAGCTATTCAACAAAAGATGACAGAGAAAAGGATAGCTAAGAGACTGTATTGCCGTCTTTGACGTCAATATTGGTCAAATATCTTATTATGAATCGATATCGGATTGCAAATCGCATTCAAAAATAGGAAGCAGAGTAACGGTTTAACTTTAATTATGGTTTCCTTAAACTAATCAAGAATCTACACAAAACTTAATTTTAAATAATAATCTAGTAGTTGTTAATCAATTCGAGTCAGATGCTCAGAAGTGAGGAACTGTGATGTATGAAACAAAACAATTTAGGAACAACATCAATAACATGAAAAAGATGTGACGTACTGTGAAATTACTGAAATTGCGGATTGTGAACCGTTGGGTTCTGACACATTCGTTAGATGGTAAGTTAATGGATATTAAATCCAAAAGTTTTGGTTTTGATTTCGTGTAAATTTGCACATGCACAACTAATTGAAAGATTTAATCTATAACGAAACAGTTAGTGGATGCTCTCTAGCTTTCAATGATGATTTCAAATGTTAATGAAAATCACTGTCGAATCACAAAACATTTATTGCAATACCTTCACTTTTATTTTATAGTGGACTAGATCTGCATATTTTACACACAAGCTTGATGAAACTTAATTGCTCAAATTATCTCAACCAAGCAATTGCAACGTAGAACTTGATACATCAAACTATCTGCTTTTTCGGCGTTATCACTAGAATTTCTCAAAAAAAAATCCTAGTTTTCACAAACTACTTCTGGTTAATCTCTAAGTAATATGCTCAGTAAAATAAAAGACCATAAAATTTTATCAATCAGTTTTAATCTAGAAAACTCCATAAACTATGATATCATCTGCTTTGATATGATACATAAGAGATTAAATATTGCCCACATTAACCCACTTATGATTGTGTAGAATACTATCGAAATCTTAGTGCTGTCTTAGTACTAATTTTTAAAACACATTATCACATTAGAAGAATAACAATTGCAGCAGTGTCAAAATTATACCATCAAATAAATATAAGTAAGAAATCTCAGATAAAAAAGAATCTATCACAACAAATTAGGAAATTCTCAACTAAGATTTGAAAATAAAATATCATGATAAATTTAGATTTTTGAGACTACTTTTAAGTAATAAAAGTAAAAACGATTATTCGGTTTGTGTTATTTTGTGAAATATCAGATATTTGGAAAAAAAAGTAAACGTCAACGATTTTGTAGACTTACACAAAATTCTGTACAATGAGATGCCAAAATATCAGTTTCTAACAGACTGAGTTGGATGAGATTTGCTAGATAATATATTGACAAAGATAGTTAATAAGAAGCACAAAACGATTTGCTACAAGATTAATAAATCCATCAAGTTTCAATATATTTTAAAACACATTTGGACAACGCTGTAGTGCAGAATAGCTTTTAATATTATTTACTGTCGAAGCTTTTCGCCGAAACTCGGATTAGACTTGGTAATGAAATTTTGGGACTATTTATTTTAACACCCAAGACTTAAGAACAAAAATGTAGGTATGATGAGTACTATATCTTCGGCTAACAGTTTATGTGGAACTAATCGTTCAAACATTCACGAAATTTCATACGTGTTATAGATCCAAGTATACGTTGTGTTAATTTTAGAAATAACAATGTGCTGCACTGATAGATTATAAGTATGTTGCCATTTTAAACAAGTTTAGTAGATACTGTTTTCTATAGATGACTGTTCTTAGTACTTTATTAAAATCTGATAAAAACATGATTCAGTTGCCTGTTTAGAAATCAACTTATGGTCTGAAAATATGATAAACGACTCAATATAAACAATGAGAGGGACACATCAAGTGAAAATAAAGCACGTATTCCATGGGACAAATGGAAAACCTGAGAATATTGAATATGAGTGCATTCTTTGGCAAACGTTACAGAAGTCCCCGAGATTAGTTTGAACCCATATTCAGTTTGACATGGTGTATATAATTTCGCGTTATTTAATGAACTGCATCGATACTATGAGCTAGCTTAACATAATAAGACCTCCTTCATAACAAAATAATGACGTGAATGGCAAACATGAAAAGTCAAAATAATTGAATGTACATTTAAATCAACCCAAATATAATTATGATGGGAAAATTACTAGTTCTTACCAATTAAACATAGAACATATGACCCATCTAGCTTAAATAGTAGACTATCGAACTCTTCTGAACTACTGTATAATGTCATAATGACTTTGGAACACAGTCTTTCACTCACTATAATATCATATGCCTGTAAAAAAAGGATATCAAACACAGGATGATTATTTATTTAAATAGGTGAACGGACATAAAAATGTTTAAATAGCTAATACACACAGTTAATTATGTTTGCAATCGAATATTGCCATATGAAATCCACCATGTGTTTGAAATAATATAATTCTCTGGATTTTCAAACGGCTATAATAAAGAATTCCAGATTTGTAGTCTGATTTTTAGAAAAAAGACACCAAAACACATCATTATACTTGGATTAGGTGTTCCAACGAAAATCTATTCTACACATGATAAAAAAATCCACTTCAAAACTATTATTCAGTAAAAACAATAATAACAACGACTGAAAATAGTTGAAGATTTGTATTTAAACTTATGCGCCAAAATTTGTGCACTGGAAATCCCAACTGCGATACACATCGGGGTTATAATCACGCAAGATAATGTGTTGTGACGGTAGTCATAAGACAACAAAAACGCATCTCATGATATCAGCTATTTGTTTTACTTTATTGTTGGAAAATTTTCTTGAATTGGTGACTTTACATGGTGGTTGTTGAAAAGTGTAAAATCCACAATCAGTCAGTGGAACGTGTCTTCGTTCTAGGATCAGACGTAGTATGAATATCTGGTCTATACATGCACGTCTAGGTCGAAACCAGCCTGATATACTCTAATCTGCTTTTCATTAGTTTTAGTTACAGTGATTCTTCTGTGACTGTCACAAGAGGACTTTCGTCTTTTCTTATAGACTGGGACAATTTGTGATTGAGAGCAGTCGGATGGGATTATGCCTATTTGCAGATTCTACCTAAGATCTCAGACAAACTGCAAAAATTGGACCATCATCCTTATGGATTTCAGGGGTCAATCTATCAAGACCCGCTGCTCTGCCTCGGTTCAGATTTCCTGTAGATTTTCCAGCTTAGCGTTTGCTAGGAATAGGCGACTATCTGAGCACAGCTGCAGGAGACGGTCACCATTATCTTTTCGATCAGCCATAACACCATATGATCAACCCAGGTGTCTTTCCTTTTCACTCAGTCTACATACTTGAGTCACCAGCCATTACTATTACATCAGAGCGCCTAACCTTTTGAAGGAGGTCTGAAAGTTTCCCTTAAAACTCATATTTCATCTCGTCTGAACTGCAGTTAGTGAGAGCGTAAGCAGACACGACGAATAGGCAACGACGAGTGTCCATATCCTTCCGAATCCTTACTGTCCCGTTCAGTCGGACAGCGCACAAGCGACTATCTACAGGGATCCAGTCTAGGAGAGCTAGTTCTGCCCTACGACTCAGTGTTACACCTACGCCAGTAAGACCCCGCGAAGCAGCATCAGGGCTACCAGATACACGAAGAGTAAATCGAGCTGATTCTTTATTTTGACAAGATGAAATCAAATTAATGGTTTTACTAGGATCCTCCTATATGTGCATTTCCGAAACACAGCATACATCTATGGCGCGAGATTCTAAAGCTATAACTAAGGAAGCCTGTTGTCCTATTTGACACAATTTCTCGACATTAAATGCTCCAACATGTAATTTAGAACGACGTTTCAGGAGACGAGGAATGACGCTTCGGGAACTCGCATCGTTTGCATTACCTGTGCAGTGCGAAGAAGGAATGTGAGTAAAGCTAGTCGTGGAGAGAAGACAGATATTAGGGTATGTAGAAAGGATTTGTTTGTAACCAATTCGGTCTCTCGTGTTGTTACGTGTGTGAGGGCGGTTGTCACTTCCCGGCTGCCCACACCGTAGAAGGGTGTTTCTTGAAGAATCTAAAAAAGAAGGTGAAGTAGTGTTGGTCTTGGAGACCCGGAAGCGTGACCGCAGAGTCCAAGGGACAACTGCTTGAGGCCGGTCGTGCACGGCTTTTTATGGATAGTATTCAAAGTGGTAGCTCTGTCCTTATTTAAAAGACCTTACCGTCGGAGACTGAAATCTTTGAGGTAAGGTGAGGTGTGAGAATTTTAGGGTCGACCTTTTCTAACCCGTTCCTTCCTTGTGAGAAGGCAGCATAGCTGCAGATGCTGATTGACCGAGGGAAACACCTTACTGCTGTCACACCCCTCTATAGCCAGCAGTACGACTTCGCCTTCAGACTTTGAGTACCTGCTTTTGTCTCATCGTTCTCCAATCGACATGCCTGGCATGGTAGGACCTTCAACAACATATGTTCCAGCCAATATATCTGGGTTGATTCATCATGATAGGCAAGCCCGACCACCGCGTCAAGGTAGCAGCTAAGGTCGGGATCAAATCCACAACTAAACTAAAGTAGTATTACATAATTACTAAGAAAATACTGATAGCGTCATAACGAGTATCACTTCCGAGAATCATAAATATATTTTGGAGACTCATTATTTCCTAGACAAATGGTTTGATAAGCAACGATTCACTGATACATGTACAAGCATAAACTTAACCATAAAATGTAGAAATCGTAAACAAAAGAAACTCTACATTTCACAGGGAATTGTTGGAAGCGTGACATCCCAATTAAAAGACAAATAATAAACCTTTCATTACGAACATAATTTAAGAAGACAAACAAGACAGCATACAACTTCACATAAAGTGCATCGGTTAAAGTTGCTACACTTAATTAAAAAAGGAAACTGTTAAAACAAACTACAGACCCCATAGGCCAATACGATGTTCTAGAGACGGAGCATTTTTCATTCAGTTTAAAGAATGAATTATCCATCAAAGATACTATTATTAAAGAGTACTTTACAGAAAATTTATCAATTTCACTAGTAAATGATGCTTCCGAGTTGAAAATTTGATCTCAGCTATTAAAACCAACGTACTGACTTAGAATCTTTCAACAGGATTGTAAGTAAATGTCTGAAGGATGAAAACAATTTCGTGCTTCGAAAGCTATGTATTTTTGGTAGACCCACTGATTTAACACATGGAAATTCCACATGTCAGTCAAAAAATATCACTAACGAAAGATGAATTCGATATCGAAAAAGCACTTAGCTTCACTTCATTAGGGATATGAGTCTGTTATAACACAAACTTGCTTGATTTTAGATGAATGATACAAGTTTTTAGCTAGCACAAACAACTTTACACTAACAGAATATGAAGAAGTCTTTCGATAATTCACTACTCATTAGGAAATTCTAAAGCTATAGAATTGAATTTTCGGTAATGAATAGAAATTCGGGTAAATAACCCAATAAGCAAAAATATGGGTGATAGAAACTTAACACTGATGAGAAATCTTGTTTCGGGGTTTGAAAAAAACCTATACACTGCTTGTTCTATCACTTTTTTTAAATATTCCAAACTATTTACAAAACAAACGAAATGCTAGACAGGAAAACGAATACGACAAACGTTCAAGCATGTATTAAAAGAATCAATCAAAATCTTCAAGAAAACGATAGCTGCATAAAGTTTAATACCCACCTCATTCATCATGGAATTTATATGCAGTATAAATCCAGGCACAGTTAAGATATTTTTCGTAAATAAAATAACAAGCTTCTGAGGGAACGTTTCATATATTAAGGGTCTGAAATATAAAAATGCATTATACGAAAAAGCAGATCATATAAGCCGATCAATATGAATTGCGGAATAAAATCTAGAGAAAATACACGTAAAGTTTTATAGAAATTATTAACCAAACTGTTTGCTGTGGGTTTAAACCAAGTTTAAACAAATTTATCTCCAGCGCTGTTGCAGGTGAGTGAGCGATTATTCTTTTTTGGTAGACCACAAATTAGAAAGGTACTTCTTACGACACCTGGAAAGTTGCATTAGTGGTAGCTTTTTCGAACTTGAAGCATGATATCAAAGTACAAAGGGTGACTACTAAAAAGTATTCAAACGTGACCTTTATAAGAGTAGTTCTGACGTGTTATTTCTGTACATTTATGGCCTTACTTCTGGGAAGGAAAGGATAGTGTGAACTAATTTAAGAATTCCGTTGTGCGATTAAAGTATTTCATACTAGAATTTACCATTATTAAAATACTATATTTAATTAATTTGAACTGTTATTACGTCCGTGTAATACATGTCTTTGTAGAATTCGAAGGTATGATTATGTTATTACCAGTGATTATCAGAGATATATTTTAGGGGGAATTCAACTGGATCTTCACGTTGAAATACTTGAATGTAAACAAATACATACCAACCACAAGCAGCCAAACTTTTAACAGACTATGCCTTTTATCGTTTCACACGGGTGATGTACAGACAGACTGGAGATGACACAGTTCCACAAGTATTAGAATAAAAGTTATTATAACTATATTCCAGTAACAATGTGGGTTTAAGTACTTAACTCTAAAATAAACTTTGTGTGAGGGGTAGGAATACTACCTGACTATTCAAGTTTATTGGCAGCCCGCATGAGTATCTAGGCTACCTGCCCCCTTACACCAAAATACCTCAACAAGTTAACTCTTTTTATTTGTTTTAACAAGCCACTTGTCTATTAATCCCATAGTCTATTCAGTCGAGTATATAAAGTTTAAGAGGTATCGCTTCACAATGTCCGAGACATCTCGGTGGCTGAAAATCTGTTAAAAAAAGAATGAGAGTTAATAAGATGTTGATTCCTGAACTGCTTAATTCCAACTGCCAATCACTAACTATTTTGTAAAAGAAACTTGTTGAAATGTTCCGTGCCAATAATCCCATAGAGCAATAAAGCCAGTATTATTGCTATTACTATTATTATCATTATTCTTATTATTAGTAGTATTATTAAAGGGTATTCTAAATAGTGAACCGATTGTCTTGATTTGTAAGTTTAAACTTCTGAGCCCACAACTGACACATAAGTAGAAGTAAAACTAGTGGTCCTACTTGCAAGTACTGAACCAAAGTACTTGATAACAACATAGCTCTCACGAACAAGCCAAATCTATCAAAAATTTGTATGAAATATATTACCGTCATTTAATACTAACCTCATGGCGATGGTAAATATTCCAGTCAAGGAGACTTTTGTTAATGCAGGAGTGTGTCTAGCCAAACCCTTTTGCAAAACAGTCTGCAAAGTGATCTATTAGTTAACATGTGAAGTTACATTCAAATGTTCAAATAAACTCTTTTGAACAAGATGCTGCAGAAATGTTGTGGCTAGTCGGCTCATTGCAGGCTTCAATTTTTCATCTGTAACATAAAAACTGGAAAGTTAGAGTTCATAGAACGCAGCTAAAGTACAACTAATATCGAAATCTTATTTCGAAGTTTAATACTTACAGATCCATTATTTAAGAGTGAATAAAGATAATATGAAAATTCGTGGGTCTGTATGGTCTGAAAGTTGGTTGTTAGGTGGTAACGGTACTAGGACTTCAACAATTTAATCTTATTTATAAAATTGGCCTAGCAGTGTCTATGCAACTAGCTAGTCCTATCACTTCTTAAAATAAGTTATGAATATAAGCCAAACAAAAGAACCTGAACTAAGTTACTAGATATTTACTAAATATTCCGCGATAAGGTTCTGTCTAAGGTTAGTATCATTTAGTTGGTGATAACTATGAACATATAACTGTTTTAATACATAACACATAATGGAGATGACGAGGGTATGAATGAATGCAACCGTTTCATGATATATTTGCTAGCGGTAAGCTTTCCATCAACTGGCAAGCGTATTTATCAAATTCGGACAGTAGGTTAAAGACGAATGGTAGCATTTTACAGACCCGCTGTTTAATAGATAAACAAAAACAGGTTTTTCGTGTTCACTATTAAGCTACACCTAAGTGAGCTCGCGAAAACATTCTGGAACCTTAACGGAGGTAATTAATGTAGGGCTCAAACAAAGATGAGCTTATCACATTAAACGGTGAATGCTAGAAGTCATCACAAACTAAAAACAATACAGTTGCCTATTCATCAATTAATTTCAGCGTCAATGTATAGAATCTGAGTAATAGTTACACTGTAGTACATTATGGAATAAGCTTACCTTGAACCAGCGACCACTGGCAACAATTGGTGTGAACCAGTAAGAACGATAAGAATATGTTTATAATTCTTGAATCGCTTGGAATGGATGGCTACACATGTACATTACTGAAATCAACCTACATCTAAAGAACCCAAGTGTCCAACAATCGTAGAGAACAGCCACTTCGTTGTATTTATCCAATCCACCAGTGTGTATTTCCTTAGGGCAAGGGATACATAAGAGACCTAGATATGATGAGTGACATAAAACAATATACTTTAAAGTCTCCGGTTTCCACAGAATTCAATATATATCGAATAAGAACTAACAAACGCTAAGTAGAAAACGAACTAAACTTTGATGAGAAAAACCAACTTCATAGTCCCGTTTCGGGTTATATTGGTACTTAAGATATTTTGTATACCTCAAAAGTTCAGTGGCTTAATGTGACTAGAAGGGAGTTAATATGCAACAAACCAGGAATTAACTGAGCCAACTTGTTATCACTTCCGACGACGATATTTAGGTCGAATTCCGAACTGGTTATAAGAAGTTTACCTAAGAATGAACAAACCGAAGACTTCGAATAACGTTTCTTCTGACTACAAAACTTCGCCAGTTTTTCTACAAACTTTCAAAGATATTAATTTAACTAACTTGGATGACCAAAGCAGAAGTGGCTTTAGCTTTGGCATCACGACGTTCACTTCTTTTCTTTCGACTTTGTTCAATGAAATCAGTCACCTCCGGCTTAATCTCCGTAAACATAAGTCAAATTAAGGACGCTTCACAAACATTTAGCGCCATTGCGCACACATTTAATAGTGTGCATAAAATCTTAGTACAATCTTCACATTCTAAAAACAAGGAAATATCATCTAATATCCAATATCGTTTTCACGAGCTAGTATAAACCAATTGATCCCTCTGTGCTCGATTCTTGTTCTTTTGGTACGCTTCCAACTGTTTGGTAGTGTCCAATGCATTATGGCCTAGCCAATCGACAACACCAATTCTAGTCATTTGGAAGGTATTCATGAATTTGCATGTCCTGTGATATCAGTAAGTGCGATTATCTCAGGGCAGTAGGGTTTCTGTATACCAGTAGCTATCACGTTATCAGGCCGGAGATCAGATCATTATACTGTGTAGAATAATAAAGAGACAATTATAATGCTAATAAGATGAGGATTTCAGAACTAGGTAAATAAATAGATAGATAACCTAGCTAAAGGGTACTACAGATTGTGCAAGACGACCCAAATAGACGCCAGATGTAGGAAAAGATATAATGAGCGAGAAAGATAGCGATATGAAGAAATATGCACTATAACAAATTAGGAGTTTCGAAAAACATCCTAGTAAGAGAAAGTTCAAGAATAGGATCATAATCCGCAAAAGAATCGTATTTTGTTTGGTCTCTCTTCGAAATAATCAAAAGAAGTGACTGCAGTCTATTCGGCTGGGAGCAGATTCCATGTACGGACAACTACTAGTGAGAAAAAGTGTACACGAACCACGGTGTTCTCTCTCTGATATGCGATTTTTCGAAGATTACCCCAAGGGATATGATTGTGATGACCCGGCAAGCTGCTCATGTTGGGGTGATTCGGCATACTTAATATGTTGCACGCCATTATCAGATAACTTCTGATTCACCTGTAACTCTGAGGTAATAATCACAAGTGCTGGAGTTTAACTGCATGAGATTTGTCTTCAATCCTATCGCACATTTAGTTGCTTGGATCTGCACTCGATCCAGGAGGCTTTAGTCTGTTTTAAGCAGAGAGGGTGAGACGATGTTACGAACCTCAAGATGTGGGCGTACGTATATTTTGATCAATGTTAAGGAGAATTACGAGGTGATTGCACCAAGTTGTCTCCTCGTACAGCGAAGGGATGCGTTTGCCGTGGCTGTATTTCCCATGTAGTTCAAAATGATGTCGAGGCTTTCAGTGGCTATCAAACCGAGATCGCGCTATGACAATATATTAGTGAGCGGACCTACACTAAGGGTGTAAGTCGTTTGTAACACGTGGCGTTGCTGAATATTCATGAAGTGACATTCCGACCGGTTCAGTTTTAACTTGTTTTTCACTACCCGTTCCTCAATAGATGTGAGGCTTTTTGGAAGCTCAGCTGAATACTGTTCTCTACTTATGGATATCCCGATCCTTGTATCGTCCACGTGAATCGATGACGCCGGGTTCATTTTATTAACAGGCCATTATTAAATATAAGGGATAGGAGTGGACGTAAGATGGTGCTCTGTGAAATCCCTGATGTTGAGACCTGCCAGCAAGCTAGCACTCTGTTTACCTTGATGCTAAAGTATCTAGTCCCAAATTCCTTTCTGAGCTAAATATCATATTACATTTTGACGACCTAAGATAGAGCGATTGATTTCTTGTAGCTAGTTTTTTAATTTTTCGGTACTCAAATAACATATTACTAGAGACATGCCAAAATATTTCGGTCGCTAACATATTCTTTGTAAAACGTTTTTCGGTTACTGAAATATTTCACAAGATACATGGGCTTCATATAGATGGCTAAAATTTTTCGCATAAAATTACAGATAATTTGCCAGACTCTGCAATGTATAATGCGAATAACTGGCGCGAGTTACAATGGTTTCGGTACGACGAACTGCTAAAGACTCCAAAACAATGCGAGATAGAGCCAGATGTCAATATAACAAGAATTGAGAAGGTAAGTGTGCTAAGATCTGCTTGGTATTTTTCAAACAATAAATTTACAGGCTCCTGGATAAATCACTCAAGTCTTCAGCAAATATCCAGACTAATATTTATGGATTGGAATAAGGTGCGGAAAAAGAGCAATAAACAAAACGGGGCGAAGAGCATAACGGAAAATATTCATGTTAAAGACCAAACAATGACTAAACAGACACTCTGTGTGAGGTCTTTATCAGTATAATTGTCTAGGATTTCTTGGTAGGAAGTTAAAACCAGTGCAAGGTTACGAATATGAGACGTGCACGAGGCTTACGAGGAAAAGGTAACATCGATACCACTGATTTGTTACATCCTGCTATATCGTAAGGAGTTGTAAGCAAACAAAATGTTCCGACCCACAGACATGCGTAGATTGAGGTTCTCGCCCCACCGTCATTAATGCTGATCAGATACACCATCCTCCGTCCTTTTGTGATGTTAGGCTCTCTTATGTACAATGGTAGATTTCAAATGTTCTTTAGTTTACACCCTATTTTTCGTACACCTTGTTGGAATGCACTTTCTGTACCAGCTCCACGTCACAAATAACCCAGACAACTGTTGCTTCTCTATCCAAGTAGCATATCGCACTGATTTTAAGTAAACTAATCGTATAACTTGTAAGATTTGTGTCAGTTGATAGGTAGTTTGGAGATAGGAAAGATAAGGAGCTGCAGGAAGAAAAAGAAGAGTTGAAATAATGTTGAAAAACTAATGAGTTAAGCGATAAGTTGGTTAGCAGGCAAGGTGTTTGGATGTTAATGAATTTAGGAAATAAAAATTGATCAAACTGTTATTGTGGTGTGTGCTACTTATACGAACGATATAAGTAGTATAAGAAGGGACGTGAAAGAAGAAGTCTCACGGTCAGAAGAGGAAAGCGGAAAGCAAATGGAGCAAAAGCAAAAAGTGAGTGGAGTACCAACAGGAAGCGAAGGAAGCAACAACAAGAATGGAAGAAGGATGGAGCGTTGGAAGTCAAGACTCAAAGATGGTGTGCAAATAGAGCATTCAATGTAATGTTTTCGTTTCTAACTAACTCAGAGTGTAAATTTGCACAATACAATCTTCCTCGCCTGTCTCAGTCTTCTCATTATTACTTCAACAAGAAGGAACTCATAACGTTACAGGAATTTTGAGTTTCTTTGTAATTGACTGTAGTTGAGCAGCATCTACAGGCCTATCAGTTTATCTGTCTACCAAAAAAAAATTAAAACTGCTTTGAAGGTATGAAAATTATGACTGGAATTTAAATTTAGAGAAAATCACAGGTAGCACCTCAAATGCATAACCTATTACTGTTAGTAGAAGCCGGAGGATTGTTCTATCATTTCTTGATACGTGAATGGATGGTAATGCGGGAATAATATGTTCATTGTCTGTAGTTATTTTCTAAGGTTCATCTAAATCTTTGGTAGCTCATAAAAGAGTGCCTACATTTTTGCAAGTAGGGTGTCATATCATGGTGCTGCTTACCGAAATTCATGATGCTACATTTGTTGTGGTTAAACGTTATTTGCCATGTTTCGCTCCAGATAGTTAAGTTATCAAGATCACTCAGAATCCTGGCTATATATTCGTTCTGATCTTCAGGTTTTAGAGATGTATACTATTTTCAGATCATCAGCATATAAGTATGCTCTTTGAAATCTTATAGTATTACATATATCGTTTATGCACATTGGAAACAAGAGTGGACCTAATACGATTCCCTGGATAACTCCACTGGTTATTGGTCTTGGTGATGAAAGGCGGTCGTTGTACTTAACCATTTATTGGCGCCCATTTAGTAATGAAGCAAACCACAAATGTAGTACGATTCCACGCACTTGCAAGTGTCCATTGGATGGCAGTCTAGTCACCTGGAAGTTGTTTATGAATCTGTAGGTCACACTTTATCAGTGAGTGCGTTTGTACCAGTAAGAAAGGGTGTCTGGACGCCAGCAACTATCACAGTGCCAGATTGGGGACTAATTATTTGCGAAATGGCGAACGATAATGGGAACATTCTGAAGCGAAATGGAGGACGAATGTTTCTTATTAATAATCCTATAATTTCGCTACTAACGACTTTCAGATAAATTCTAGCAGTACACGGAGTTCTTGAAATGTGGTCTTGTATTTAGGACAATGTTTCAGAATAGTTACTGAGATTTCTCATGTTTCTGTGCCCGCATCAACCATGAGGATCTGATAACTTACGTCCTAGGACCCTCAAACAGTTTGTGCGAACTCTCAGTTCACGCGTATGTTGCCTGTTCAGATATTCACCCAAGTCCCTTCTCCCGAAAAAACGAAATCAATCTATTCTCCCCAGTCCTCAAAAGATGAGACTGAAAAAGCTTGCATGCCACTGTAAGGGTATACTTTTTACAAAGATAACACAATTGCTGAAATATAAACATTTATTTTTGTACTCATTTCTGACATTAATTGTTATATTGTACTCCTTTTGTTTATCTGTACTGAAGACTATCTCTCGAGAGCCAAGCTTGTTTTTCTCATTCTGCTTCTCCGCGTTTCTCCTACCTGGTCATCAGCTGCTTGTGTACCCTCTAGCCTCGATATTATTTCTATATCACGAGGCTAACAATAAATATACTTATTCACCTAGAATCGTCTTTTCTTTGACTTCTAGATTAACGTGATTAACATTTGTTATTCCGCGAAGTCGTATTTTATTCCATTTCGCTATACCACAGATCAGTCTCATTACTGCCAATACTATAGAACATAACAGGACTGGTTAATGAAGAAACGAGGGAACACATTAATTAAAATAGCATTCTGCAAAACCCTAACGCAGGTTTCTGGAAGGTAAGGGGTGTGCATCCAATATTCTCATCGCATAGGGTAGCCAAAAAACCGGCTGGGGCCAAAAGATAGCGGTGCACATAATATTTTTTGACTTCGCGAATTCGTTCGACAAAGTAACCCACATATTCTCATGAGTAAATGTTTCGAAGATGAGCTTAACTGATTCAGTTCTGTCTTGTCTCCGAAACAAAATGCTGGGGAGTCTCAACATCGGGAGTATCTCTTTGCTTTGATAACTTGTTATTGGCTTGCTAGATGGTATCGGCTAGACTGCACCCGTTTATGCAGATGATGCGATTATTTTGTTGTCCTTACGTGTTGAAAAGGATTAATTTTAGCTTCAACGTAATACTACAAAAAAGAATAATAATCATTTGACGACTGATTGAAATGTGATAAACCGAAATATTTTGTCATGAACATTCCTCCCCATGTGACACTAACAACCCACGTCCTCCAGATAAGTCAGCTCTCAAATGTCTCCTGAGAGCATGATCTTAGTTTAATGACCGTTGAGATCCTGGGCCTAGTTCAAACTACGTAACGGTTCAGCCAAGGCAACTTGAAACGCTCTCCCAGCAGAGGTGACCACAGCCCTCTCAGTGGAAACCTTTGAGAAGAGACCTGATAAACAAGCACTGACATACGGACTATCGTTTCTTTCGTGGACGAGCTGTGACTAATGCATGTCCCGAGACCTGTTAGTCACTTTGGTTGACATTTCTTCATACTGCTAACTTCATCTCTCACGTTTATTATCTCTTTCCCCCTCCCTCGTTTACATTTCGATTACCTTGCACTACCAATTAATTAAGTTATCTATCTATTTGTTTACCTAGCTCTGAAATCCTCATCTTATTAGCATTATAATTGTCTCTTTATTATTCTACACAGTATAATGATCTGATCTCCGGCCTGATAACGTGATAGCTACTGGTATACAGAAACCCTACTGCCCTGAGATAATCGCACTTACTGATATCACAGGACATGCAAATTCATAAAATACCTTCCAAATGACTAGAATTAGTGTTCAATATCCAATATCCAATATCTTTTTCACGAGCTAGTGTAAACCTATTTGATTTCTTCGCGCTCGATTCTTGTTCTTTCGGTACGGTTCCAGGTGTTCGGTAATGTCCAATGGATGGAGGTCTAGCCACTCGACTGTCTAATTCTAGTCAGTTGGCAGTTGGTTGTGAGTTTGTATGTCTCGGGATTTGAATGAAACGTTTGTTTCAGGGCAGTAGGGTTTCTGGATACTAGCAGCCGTCACATTACCAAACCGGAGATCAGTTAGTTGCAATGTGGAGAGTAATAAGGGTAATAAGGGTAAATTAAAATGATAATATGAGTAAAATTTCAGAACTGAGTAATATATAGATGAATTTAGTTTATTAATTGGTAGTGAAGATTGTGAGAGAGGACCGAAGTGTAAGCAAGGGAGAGGAATAGGCTAGGTAGATTAATTGAGTGATCTGAGGAGATGGCAATAGTGACAACTAGCAGGTCTCAAGATATGCATCAGGCACAGCTTGTCCAAGAGGGAAATGATAGTCCGCATGTGAGTACGTGATTATCAAGTCTCTTCTGAAAGCAGTCCACTGAGGGGGCTGTAACTACCTCGGCTGGGAGAGCATTCCAAGTTGCGACGACTCGCAATGAGAAAAAGTGTGCACGACCCTGAGTGTTTGCTCTTTTATGTGCAATCTTTTGAGGATTGCCTCGAGGGGAGTGGTGGTGATGCATCGGTAAGATGCTCACATTGGGATGGTTGGGCGTGTTTAATATGGTGTACGCCAAAATCAGGTCACCTCTGATTCTCCTGTAGCTCAGTGGGAATAATCCCAAGAGCTGGAGTCTATCGTCGTACGGTTTATTTTTCAACCCTATCACCCATTTCGTTGCTCGTCTCTGCACTCGATCCAAGAGATTAATGTCTCTTTTAAGCAGAGGGGGTGCGATGACGTTGTGAACCTCCAAGTGTGGGCGCGCGTACGTCTTAAAGAGGGTTAAAAATAATTTCGGGGTTAAAGCACCAAGCTGTCTTCGCATAAAGTGAAGAGTCGCATTTGCCTTGGCTGCATCCCCTACATAGTTCGGACTCGTGTGGAGGCTTTCTGTGGTTATTAAACCAAGATCGCGCTCTGAGGAGACATTAGGGAGCGGACTTCCATTGAGAGTGTAGGTGGTTTGCGTCATATGAGGCAGGAAATGCATGACGTGGCACTTCGGTTGGTTGAGTTTCAAACCGTTTTTCACTGCCCATTTCTCAATGGATGTAAGGTCCTTTTGAAGCTCAGTCGAATCCTCTTCGCTTCTAATGGACCTCCAGATCTTCGCATCGTCTGCGTAGATCAGTGCCGGTGAGCTAACTAAGCTTAGCAGGTCGTTAATGAATATCAGGAAGAGGAGTGGGCCTAGGATGGTCCCCTGTGAAACTCCTGAAGTGGATACTCTCCAACTCGCGTGCACCCTGTTTACCTTGGTGCGAAACTTTCTATTCTCAAGGTAGTTTCTGAGCCAAGATACGAGTGGGTCAGTGAAGCCCATTTCCACAACCTTTTCGATTAGGCGTGCGTGGGGCACTGTGTCAAAGGCTTTTGCGAAGTCGATTGGCTAGGCCATAATGCATTGGACACTACCAAACAGTTGGAAGCGTACCAAAAGAACAAGAATCGAGCACAGAGGGATCAATTGGTTTATACTAGCTCGTGAAAAAGATATTGGATATTGGAATTCCCTACTTAGCAGCAGTTTTAACTTCTAGGTCAGTTAATGTGTCACATTTAGGTCTGTTGTTCATAACACGAAGGCTAAGCCAGTCGGTCTTTTTCCAGTAAGTTCCTGCTCATTCATAATATTATATCGAATGAGCCAGTCGATTATGCAAATGATATTACTGTCAGTAGGTTTCGAGAGTAGTTTTCGCATGCGAAAACCTGTACTGCACGGAGTTTTTGTTCGTTCACTGCTTTTTAATTCAGCCTTTAAATTCACTGAATTGTCTTAGCTGGGTCCAAACTGTAAACGAAATATATATTCATCCCAAATCGCGTATTCTGTACTCTGTGTTCTAAAAGCTTTTGGTAAATTTTCTTAAATTTGTAGAGATTCTATAATAATTATGAATAAAAACTGCCAACTTTCTTTAGCTCTAGTTTATTCTTTAAAATGAGAGCAGATTTTTTGTATGTCACCGAAAGTGTGTTTACGTTGTTTTTAACTAACAACAAGTCATCATCTAATTGATCCATATTGTGTCAAACTCTTTCTAGCGTTCTATACAAAAGAATAACACTGTTAAACTGAACTTGTAAGTAAGTGCAGTATTTGTGCATCTTATTTCCTTGACCTTGAGGAGAAACTGTAAATTCTCTCTCAAACTTAATATTATGTGGTCTTTCAAAGTATCTCTGGTGATTACTTGTTTTGAACTTATGAAGCATCATGGCTATCCTCCATTAAATGCTTCCTTGTTGATCATTAGACTAAAACCTCTGCCAATAGTAACTTTGAATTTATGTCGTATACCGAAACTGAACGTGGGTCTTTTTATACATGTATACCGAGCATGCGGATGATGTCTAACTAATCAAAGAACGAAACACCACAAAAACAGCCATCTTAGCTACAAAATTTCCCTACCACCTAAAAATTAAGCCATCAACATGCTACCAGAAACTCCAAGTATAATTCAACACAGTATTCGCATTACGACGGCTGAATTCCATCAACTTCGCAGTAAATCTGGTCTACTAAATGTCGGATATCAAATACATAAATGGTAGGATTGACACTTGAAATGAGCGAAGTCTGATTTAGTTGTATTTTATCATTTTATCCACTAATAGTCGTATTATTATCAGTATGTAATTATTTAATCGCCTAGTAATATTATTTCGCATTGTGTAAAGCGTTTTTTGCTGTTTAATATCAACTGTTTTCCCACAATTAAGAAGTGCATACCATAGTAATCTATCTAGAATTTGAAGCAGGGTGAGTCGCTACCTAACTATCACTAAGTTCAGTTTATCCGAACTGATCACATAATGTAAAGATAAAATTATTGTGTTCTGACCAATGCTTACTTGTTGCGCGCATATGTAAAGTAATTATTTAAATAATATCTTGCAAAGAATATAGCTCAGATTAATAGTAGCTGTTCCAAGAAAAAAATTTTAATTTTAAGCTAAAGAAGTATATAGTTACAGATTAGTAACTCCGTACCAGTTTTCTTACTACCTTACATCATATACTTCCTGTAGCTAAATTAGGACTGGAACCACTTCTGTTTCGTTAACTGCCCTCTAAATTCATTCATGATTACGAATTTCACTCTCCTTAAGAGTGTGGAAATTCCTGATGGTTTTTCCTTATGACTAAAGTCCAAAGTTACCATTTGTTGATACATGCTTATCAATCGGTTAATGTCATCAGTTGCCAAATTAGTGTCTCCGTATATCGAAACAAGATTCTAATAGTACTTACTTGTTAAGTTCAACCTAACTAGTTCTTTGAAGTTAGTAATATCAAATTTTTACTCTTGGTTTTATAAATTTAAACTAATATTATCCATTCTTGATATTGTCTTAACTATCGTCTTTTAGGGGATAACAAATAGTGATCTCTGTGCCGTTATCGTGAAAACTCTAGGTATTATTCAGCTAGAAGCTACATTGCCAACCAGTAACTAAGAAATAATAATTAAATGCTATTTTTGTCCAACAAATTATTGCTACTTCTACACCTACGTGTTCACGAAAGCCAACCATGCAACGGTCTGTTACCCATAAATAGAAATATATCGGTTCATTACATCCGCTTGGTAGGGCTAAGCTTGTAGTCACCTCTGAGATAGTATGCAACCGCTAACCAAAATGCCAAGTTTTGAACACGAGGTCAACTTCCCGTCTAACCTAACAATAAAATATTGACTGCGTTATTAAAGTTCACAGAATATTATGTTATATAAACTGTGGGACTGAGTGTTATTGACAAAGGGGCTTAGATACGAGATGTTGTCAATAAACACTTGAAAATTTTATATCTCCAAGTTTGAAAGAACCCTCTGTGTATATAATCTATGAAATTCTTGAGCCACCCGATAAAGAGATTTGATCATTACGAATCCAAATCCTATAGTTCGATGATATCTACTCATTTTTGAGGTAACTGTTAAGATGTGTCCATTTCGTAAAAAGCTTTGTAATCACAAATATAAAATCGTAAAACAGTGGTGACTACTCAGTTTTAAGGTTGGTCATCGTAAACCTTCAACTATATAGTAAAACAGAAACTTCGGAGTGTTAGCATCTATTTTTTGACCCAAACGACCTGATATAATAAGGGACTAAACAAAATCTTATCCAAAAATATGACAGTCCCACAAAATAAAAACATCGCGATAAGAATAACAATCTATGAAATAATGAATGTCCTCTGTTCATTTATTTTGTGATGATAATATATAATCCAGCTTGTTTCGCTAGATATTTACCCTATAATGTTTGTCTTTCAGTTTACCATCAAATAAAGAAAGATTTTCGATTTCGGAATTCGTTCAAATTATCCAGACTATACCTAGACATTTTTGTGGATTCTATAATCGAAAAGAATGGTTTCACTTGATGTTCCTCTCCCAACTGTTGAGGAACTAACAGTTCCAGAACTAAAGATATCAAAGTGTCCACTGCTGGCTGCGAGCATTCATTTAGGGAAGTTCTGTGACAATCAATCTAAGGTAATTTTCAAAAATAATATTTGTATTTATAGGAATTCATGCTTTGCCATTATGAAACACACGACCCAAGAGCTTGTCTTGAAGAGGGGAAGGCGCTCACCAGTTGCGCTCAAACGTTTTTCAAACAGGTTAAAAGTCATTGTAGTGATGAATTTCGTAATTATTTTACCTGTCTTTATAAGTATGGAGGACCAGCTTACAGCTTAGAAAAGTATGTTTTTTGCTTCCCGATGTTTTATTTATGTCTTCTAACCATTCATATGTGCCAGTAGTATCATCCTAATTTCTGTTCTCATTTGATTTATGTGACTTAAGTTTTGGATAATATATCAATAAGCAAATTACTATCACTAATATTTCTTTTGAATAGTACGAAAATGATTTGCGTTAACTTTATGCTTGTATGAGTGTAAATTTCATCAAAAAGTAGCAGATCCAACATCAGGAAAACAATCTGATTTCATACACTGGAATTTTTTTCATATCCTCTGAGAAGCAAAAGTTTTCTGTAGAGAGAGAGAGAGAGAGAGAGTTGGAGAATAAAATCTGTTGAAAAATAAAATTTAACGTCAATATATAAGTGATATACCTGATTAGATATTTTACCGTATGAACTTGCCAAACAGTTAGAAGCACGTTATCTGCATGTTAACTAATCATACATACCCTCAAATGCCTCGATAAGGTCGAGAGTGAGGAACGTTAACATGCCTTGTCAAAATTCCCTCATACACCTACGCGTATTTAGCTACTGTCAAAGAAGTTCAACTCACTTTCTTCTCGTAACGCAGGTGTTGTTTACGAAATCGAAATGAAAAGCGAATGTTTGGTGCTTAGACCAGGTTGTTGGTTGAGAAGGATTCACCCAGAGGAGTTGAAACGAATAGTACACATGAGCTCCAGAATCCTGATAGTAAAATAATGTATGAACCGATCGTTGATCACTTACTACCACGGGATTGTATATCCTAACGCTACTGAACTGTCTTATGGATTAGACCTCTAGATTAAAGGCCAAATAAATTGTCTCCTAAGAAAGCAACCTACTTTGATTCGGTCACCCGAAAAGAATTCCATCCCATACACAAACTCATCGATTTGTGTGGCGCTTAAAAATCTAGATTCCCCTTTATACTAATAATTATGTTTTTGAATAGAGAATTAACGATATAAGTATACTCAGTTACATGGAATATAGTTATTCTGATACTGATTTTTTGTTTCGCAAACTTCATGGGTTGGCTCATTTCTTATCAGATATATGTACACTGAAAATTATAGGCAAACGTCACCGAATATTTCCTTGAGGTTTTCGAAACAATGCTTGGTTTGGTTTGAAAATGAACTTTATAAGTAGTGAATAAGCACGTCAGGTGCCTATATACATGTTCCGTAAAATTTATTACAATAGGTTTCCCATCACATTAGCTCATCAAACCACCACATTAAAATTTCTTATAAGGATAGATTTCAAGTGTGAAACGTATAAAATCAGAATTATTACTGTAACAAGCATCCAATAAAGTTGTTCTTACCAATCTTAAGATGTAATTAATTTGTAAGTCTTGTTTGGTTTTTGCTTTATGAATTCGACCATCGCATTAGGCAGTGAAATTAAGCATTAGTTTATTGAACATCCTTTATATTTTATCCACAAACATATACTTGATTTTTAATGATCCTGGCTTTTCACTCCCTAGTTTTTTTCGTGGTGTTGGGTTCAAGTGTCTGTATATTTGTCAAACCAGACTTCGACGCATTGTTCGTTTGCTTGATCTATCTAGCGTAAATAGACTGATGAGCTAACTGTTTTCCTCCCATAAAACTATAGATCAAGGCTAGCTTCACTTTACTTCAGTCATCCTTATTTTATTATTTTTCATCCATATGGTAAGTGTGGTCCACAGCATTCAGTATTGACTTCCTATGGCCCTTTCGATTTACATTTGTTTTCATCTATGGTTTAGTTCTAAGTATCATTCCCCGTAAATTTATACATGTTTGCGTATATTCATTTGTACTGATAATATTCAGGTGATGATTATTCTTATTAGTTAGGAGTGTGGTCAACGAATAAGGAAAGGGTTTTAGTTTAAGATTCAATAAGAAAATAAGTGGTTTTCCCAATGCCTTGTATGTGTTTACCATATAATTAATTGATCAATATAACACTGGATCTTTAGTAATATTATCTATATTGCGATTCCATCTACATCGGTAATTATCCTATGTATCTTCTCAATATTGTGAATATACACAATACTTTTAAGCCTTAATTGAGATGTTAGTTGGAATTCTAGTAAACTCGTAATCTGATTGTCCCATTGATGAAAAAGGTGTATACTTATAAAAAATTCATTATCATGCAACTCTTTTTTGTATTCTATTTTCTATGTACTTTAATTTAAAAGCTCTGATAAATTTTCTAACTCATATTATTGTTTTTGCTTAACATTATTCAGGTGCCGTTCAGCTCAGTATCCTTTCGATGAATGTATAAAAACTCACCTTAACCAAGAACGTCCGAAAACGAGTTACTTTAATGTTGTTCGCCTCCATAAAACCAATCGACCTAGGTACGAACCAGGATTAGCTCCAATGCCCGAAAGAATTCCAGACCTACCTGATTTAGATAAATTTGAAGTGCCTGATCGTATCAAATATAGACAAAAGATAAACGAACTATTAGCTTAGACCAATCTAGTGTTTCAATAAAGTACAACATTTTATTATTGCTAAGCATATATTAATGTAGTAATTCTAGCTTGGTAATGTTTAACATTCTAAAACCTGTTAATTCAATTTGTAAAATTTATTGAAATAGTTGATCGAAATTTCGTTTTGGAAACGTATTTATAGTGCAGAAGAATCTATTCAATAAAATACCTGACGTCTCAAATGATTATTATTCTCAGACTGAATACCTGTAGAAAACGTTATCATCTACAGATAAAATGAAAACAATAAAATCTGGAAAATGGAATAAATCTTTATTTTTTAAATCCTAACTTTTCACTCTCTACAAGTAGGCATAATTATAACTACTATACAAGCAGAACTATTGAAATCTTCAGTAATTAAAGGATATTAATTTCTCTCTTGTCGGTTAGTTGCATGAACTGAATACATTACTCTGTAATAGGCCACAAAATTTCTACCTAAAAGTATTGACTTTGTTAAGCGAAAGTTTATAGAGAAATTAGATGCTTCAAAATACTTGTCATCAAATACAGAAAATAAAAAGCTGTAACTACTAAACATTAAACTACCCAAAATAATCTGTTTTAATTTGTCTCACATTTGAAAACGATACGAGAGAGTGTGTATGTAAAAGCCGAATGACTAAATAGACACCAAAAGGTTTTCCTACAATCCGATTGATACTAGTTTACTACATCTCACTTCCATTGTAACAACTCCGGTTAGGGAAGTAACCTATTTCAGTCAGTCAGTTGCAACGTAGAACTTCGTACGTAAGTACATCAGTTCATGTTGCCATACCACATCAGCACTGAGATGTAATTGTCAATTCAAATCCAATAGTAGAAGAGTTAGTAAGGGTATTAGAAGTAATCGGAGAGATTAGGATGAGAAGATATTATTCAGGAAGTATGCTTAAATGAGAAAAGTTTAGAAAGTCAAAACTAGAGGTGTTGGAGAATCCAGAAGATTAGGATTTGAGAGAACACAAAGAATAAATGCACCGGCGCCATTGCGAACGATTTTGAGCCATGTCATTCAAGGTCTCAAACCATCGATTATTATCATCTCGCGGATCGCAACCAGGTAGTCGACAACTACCGACATGGCTAAGTCCACTCGTCAATGACTTCATGGATTTCTGCCATGTTTTGGTCTGCCCGCCCCTAGCTTTCTTCCAACCTATTCCTACACTACAAAACAAAGCTCGACGAGGCAGTCGGTGGTTAGGCATACGCAACACGTGTCCCAACCACCTCAACTGATGAAGTTTCACCACTTCATCGACTGATCTGCCATTCTTACCTAGTACCCGTTTCCTAATAACTGCGTTGCTCACTCGGGTGTCCCACGATATACGAGCAATGCTTCGAAGACACCTATGATCGAAAACCAATAACCGACGAGTATCTTCTACTCTCACTGGCCATGTTTCACAGCCATAAAGTAAGACGGATCGAAGTACTGCGCAGTACACTCGTCCTTTGGTCAGCGAACGGATATCTCGCCTACGCCATAAGTGACGCAGGTTAGCAAAAGTCAATCGAGCCTTCTGTATCCGTGCCTGGTTTTCTCGAGTCTGCTCTTCACAAGCTTTCGTTAAGCGTCGAAGTATTATTGAGGCCAGTATTTTAGATACTATATTAGTTAGACTTATTCCCCTGTGATTGTCACAAGAAGACTTTTGTCCTTTCTTATAGATTGGGACAATCAAGGATTGAGACCAGTCGGATGGGATTACGTCCAGTTCCCAGATTCTACCTAAGATCTCAGTCAATCTAGCTGCTAAAACTGGACCACCATCCTTAAATATCTCAGGGGTCAGTCTATCAGGACCTGCAGCTCGTCCTCGCTTCAGATTTCCTAACGCTTCTTCAACTTCATTAGGACTAGGGGGACTTACGTCGATTTGCCATTCAGGATGACTGGAGATCGTGGGTAACCGAAAAGTGGCTCGAGGCCAGTTGAACTGATCCCTAAAGTGTTCTGCCCATCGATCCAGTCTCCTGGATTGAGAATAAATGAGAGTCCCGTCATTTTCTGAGATAGTCTCACTTACACTAGGATTCCTAATACCAGTTTCTTTAATAAGTCGGAAAAGTTGTCTACTGTTGCCGATCGCCGCTGCCTTTTCCATCGCTTTTGCTTCGCCACCCACCACTGTTCGCGATCGTTACGTAGGCTTTTTATAAGTCTGCGCCTAAGTTGACTTCGTTCTTCATCATGTTCAGAGCCAGGTGGGATGAGTTTTCGGGCATCCATCAGATCGGTGGATGCTACTGAGATCCACGGTTTCATTCTAGCCTTATGGTCAACCTTACTAGCAGATATCACTGCTGTTTCCACAGCCTTTTTGATATCATTCCATCCTGCTTCAGGATGGGAATCGCTTACATGGTCGCCTAACTGTCTTTCTAGTTGTTCCTGAAATATATTTTTCGCCTTATTATCATTAAGTAAAACCCTAAGAGGCTTTCTTACGGTGTCTTTCCTACGCCCAGTAAGCTTCAAACAAATACGCGCTCGCACCAGGGCATGATCTGAATCCAAACATGTGCCCCAGAACGAGCGACAGTCTTCTATCGAACCTCTCCATCGGTGGCTGATGGCGATGTGATCTAGTTGAGTCCAACGTTGAGACGACTTTGGAGGTCGCCAGGTCAACAGATGATTTTCCTTATGCCTAAAGTTAGTGTTTGCTAAGAATAGGCGGTTTTCTGAGCATGCTTGCAACAGACGGTCACCATTGTCTGTTCTCTGAGCCGGGACACCATAACATCCACCTAGGTGTTTCTCCTGCTCACTTAGTCTACCTACTTGAGCATTAAAGTCACCAGCCATTATTACTATATCAGAGCTCCTAGCTTTTTGGAGGAGGTCCGAAAGCTTTCTGTAAAACTCATCCTTACCCTCGTCTGAACTGCAGTCAGTGGTGGCATAGGCAGATATGACGAAGAGGCAACGGCGATTGTCCCTATCTTTCCGAGTCCTTACTGTCCCGTTTAGTCGGACAGCGCACAATCGACTATCTATTGGGATCCAGTCTAGGAGAGATTGTTCTGCCCTACGACTCAATGCTATGCCTACGCCAGCAAGACCCCGGGAAGCAGCATCAGGGCTACCGGATACACGAAGAGTAAATCGAGCTGATTCTTTATTTTGACAAAGTGAAATAAGAATAATAGTTTTACTAGGATCCTGTATGCGCGTTTCCGAGACGCAGCATACATCGATGGCACTAGATTTTAATGTGCTAGCTAAGGAAGCTTGTTGCCCTATTTGACACAATGTCCGTACATTAAATGCTCCAACATGTAGTCTAGAGCGAGGTTTAAGGAGACCAGGAACGACGTTTCGCGAACTCGCATCGTTTGCATTAGCTGTGCAGTGTGAAAAAGGAATGTGAATAGAGTTAGTCGTGGAGAGAAGACAGATATTAGGGTATGTAGAAAGGATTTGTTTGTAACCTATTCGGTCTCTCGTGTTGTTACGTGTGTGAGGGCGGTTGTCACTTCCCGGCTGCCCACACCGTGGAAGTTTGTTTCTTGAGGAACCTGAAAAGGAAGATAGATTAGTGTTGGTGCGTGACCGCAGAGCCCAAGGGACAACTGCTTGAGGCCGGTCACGCACGGCCTTTTTATGAAATGTTTTTTGAGGATTAGCTCCGTTCTTAAAGGCCCTTAGTGGGCACCCGTACCCAAGGAGACGGAAATCCGTGAGTTAGGGGAGGTGTGACATTTTTAGGGCCGACCTTTTCTAACCCTCCCTTCCTTGTGAGAAGGCAGCATCGCTGCAGATGCTGATTGACCGAGGGAAACACCTTACTGCTGTCACACCCCTCTGCAGTCAGCAGTACGACTTCGCCCTCAGACCTTGGGTAGCTGCTTTTAGTCTCATCGTTCTCCAATCGACCTGCCTGGCATGGTAGGACCTGCAGGAACATATGTTCCAGCCAGTATAGCTCGGTTGGGTCATCACGATAGGCAAGCCTGACCACCACGTCAAGGTAGCAGCTACGGTTGGGAAGTAACCTATTTATGTCATTTGAAATGTATTTCGTGATATCATGTAAATAGTGAGTACTTTATAAATTATTCTCAGTTTTCTGAACATATTCATTGACGAATAACATGTCTGCATCGAGTCAGTTGATTTCGAAATGTATATGTACACTAGTTTATTGATAAACTGCTAGTGCAGTTCATTTAAATTTGTTGATCGACTAAAACATTAAGGATGATTGTAATTTATTATTATTGATGTAACTCTTCTGCGTGTGATATAATTAATGGTTGGTGAATAAATCAGTCTGCTTCTATGATTTAGCTCTTTTTGCATCAACTGAACAATCTTGTTCCATTACAATAAGTAACAATTAAAAGTGTTTTGCAGTCATGACAAACACTTGTATCAGTAATAGAAGTCAGGATTTAGCTTACTTTGCAACCTTTGCTGCTGGGACACAGCGGCAGGCACACTCTCAATCAATTGCGACGCCAACAATTGTGCCTCCGACTCCTCATCGATATTCGGCAACGCACGGCGCAGCAACCTTGTGAGTTCCACTGCAAGCACCAGCGGGTCACCATCAACCGACAGCCTCGCCAACCGGAACTTCCGCAACGCCTCCTCTCTGTCCACCGGGCTGTCGAACTCGGTCATCAGCCGCTCAACGACCGCCTCCCATGGCGTCTTCCCGCCAGCACCGTCCAAGCTCTCATATGCGGCCTTCGCCCTTCCTCTCAGCAGCGTCCCCAGCACCACCAGCTTCGCCTTCGGTTCCTTCACCCCCACCAGCTCCGCCACGGCCTCAAACTCCTTCAGGAAGCCCCGCACATCCCCGTCTTCAAACTCCTTCGGCCATGGGATCTCCATCCTTTGCGTAGGCAGCGACACCAAACGACAATTACAGAGTTACTCAGTAAAATCGGAAAACCATATCGTAAATTGTTCATTTGCAAAAGATCAGTTCATCCTATGGAACTGGGCTGTTCCTGTTGCCAAACATCAATCCATTGTCACTATTCATGCGTTTTATACAAATTCCATTGTTTTCTAACTCTTCCTTTCTTGATCTTCCCCCCATATTATGCTACCAGACTTTACGTTGACACTCACGTTATATACTACTTATAAGTAGTTCGCACCACAGCACCACAATACTAGGTCAATTATAATAAGACCAACAGACAAATGGTGTATAGACCTATTGTTGATCACCGGCTGCCATGGGACTGTATTTCCTAACGTTGCTGCAATGTTTTGTGAATTAGAGCTGCAGGTGAAAAGCTGTGTGAGTTGCCTCTTACGAAAACCACCTACTTC